CCTCCAACCTGATCTTCCACCAGTTCTTCTCTCCGTGACGAGCCACAGCTTGTAGCAGAAGCTGACAGACAAAGACCGGTCAGTAACTAGATGTTATCATATGTATCAAATATATATATGCAAATATAAAAAACACTCATAGTAGGTTCCAAACTGGGACCTTATGCAGCAGAATCTCATCACAGGAACACAAACAAGTACTTCCTCTCTGAACTATTTACACTACTGATTGTACACTGATGTGGCTCTGCTATGGTGTATCCACTTAGTCCTCTGTGTACCTTATCCTCCTGCTTGGTCCATGGCCCTCTCTTCAGGCTCGGGTCTAAAACTTGGTTCCACCTGTAGATCAACTGTGCAGGGTCACGACCCTCCATGAAGTAACTCACTGGGAACAGAAGAGGTTTCAGAGTGTTGGCATGTAAAACAAGCACATGCACCTCATTAATGACAGAGAGACAGGCGGACTGATGTAACAGTGTGATGTGATTACTCTGTGTGTATGGGATGAAGTTCCCGATCCTCATCTTGTCCACCAGCTCTCTCAGCAAATCATCTTCAGCTGGAGTCCAGCTGCCACGTTTTAATGATCCCGAGACAAAACGCTGGAACATCTGAAGACACATGAAAGCTGTTCTTCCAGTCTGGGAGGGAGGGGAGGGGAGAGAGAGAGAGATCAAAAATAGACACACATTTCAGACAAAAAGACAGTGCTCCCTCCTGCTCACCCCCAGCTCTTGAGCGATGATCTCCCAGTGTCTCTCTTCGTGTTTCCTGCTGATCTCCTTCAGTTGCTGCACCTCCTCCTGGCTCCACCGAGTCTTATTAATGGACGGGTGGAGGAAGTTCTGCCAGAAACAGCGGATGTCCCCTGCATCCCTCGTCTCTTCAAACTGGGGACGATGGTAAAAGAAGTGATCACCTCAACACTCCGTCACTTTTGCATTCGTCATCGGATTCACTAATTACTTTTCAAAACTTACATCAATGTTGGATATTTTCTGCCAGTCATATTCTTCAAATCGATCACCAATCAGCTCCTCTTCCTTCTTCTGTCTGACCATTCAGAACAGAGAATGAGATACACGTTACATTTTAAACTGCTGAACATACTAGACTGTTACAATAAAAAGCTATTGATAGCAATATTTGTAGCAGTGGCTAATAGAAAAGTTAACTGCCTAGCATTATTCTAAATACTTGTTTCTTACTATACTAAACTAAACCTGAACCAAGCTAAAACATTCTGGTAAATCACTGGCTTCAGCTCAGAGCTGAAGAAGCTTCTCAGATGATCTTTAAGTTAAGGGTATTTGTCAGCTGTGCCAACATAGACCGTAAACTGTTTGTTGGACTTCTAGAGCTCTCCGATGTTACCTGATAATGTGACAATTCCCATTTCTGGTATAAATATGGACACATCTGGCCCTGCAAGAACACTGAAGTCCAAAATTGATATCCAGCTAACCTGAGCAAGTTGATTTCTCTCTCCAAACTGTCTATCTGCTCTCTGATTAGCTGCCTGTCTGCCTCCTCTACGGAGAGCAACTTCTGACTCAGGTAGTCCACCCTGAAAGAGAAACACACAAACACAGACACAAAAACAAGGCAGACAAAATGTAAAGTAAAAAAAAAAAATATATATATATCAATAATAATTAAAAACAAAGATGAGAGCACGTGATGTTACTTTGAGAGTTTGGGCTGGATGAGTCTCCTCAGACTCTCCCTAGACACTGCATGGATCAAGAGAGTCTTCTGCCAGCTCTCCCCTAAGACACAGATATCAGAGATGTTGAAGGGACAAACACCACTTGGTGATAAAATGGTAAATGGTCTGAACTTATACAGGACCTATTATGCTCATATCCCTTCAATGTTGTTTTTGGGCTCTAATTTTCTTGACTGACAGTTGAAAATAATCCTTATTTATTTATTTATTTATTTATTTATTATCAGTGCAGCAACTTCAGTGGGACTTCAGTTCATTAGAATAAAACAAGCAGTTTTAACTCTAGTCCCATTAAGATACCTTTCTTTTGACTGCCTCTAGGATAGAAAAGTTTCTATGTTCACAGGTTACAGCTCTCTCTTTAAAAAAAAAAAAAAAAAGCTACCTTGAAGTGGAGCAGTCTGCCTGCGCTTTCTGGCTCATAAGGATTACAGACCTTGTTGAAACTTTGGCCATGTTTAATATGAGTATCCACTACTGTAACCACCAATTTTAACAAAACAAATAGTCCAAAATACAGCATATTAACAAAGCATATTGCATTTGCATGCCCATGTCCCAACTTTTAATAATTTGTTTAAAATGTTTTTGCGTGTTTGAGCACTTGAGATGCTCTTTGTATTCATTTCAAATTTAATGTATGGTTTAAATCACTCGCAAATCGTTATGGATTCTGTTTAATTTATATTTGTGCTGCAAAAACATCACTGAAATCAGGTTGATTACATAAATTATGCACCTGCTAAACATCAGCATTTTAGTCTTAGTTACATGAGCATGAGTAGATGCTAGTGCTAGTATTTAGGCCTAAACAGTGTCACAATGCACCTATCATGTTCATTTATTTATATACATTTATTTGGTTTGTTTCACTTTGGGTAAAAAAAAAAAAAAAAAAAAAAGGGGGGGGGGGCGGGGGGAGTTTGTACTGTCTTACATCGTTTTATTTTCAGCTTCTTGTCATCGAGATATCCTGCAATCCTGCTCGCCTTTTCCTTCGCCTCCTGATTGGCTGGAGGACCCTGAAGACATACAGACAAACACAGCCCCTAATTGGTCAGCTGCAGTAACAGTAACCCTGTGTCAGTTGTTGGGCATGTTTGTCTTACCAGTCCCGTCAGTTTATCCTTGAAGTATGGTTTTAGGAAGCGACCTAGATACATCTTCATTGGCTGCTGGTAGGAGGAGTTGGTGGGCTGCTGTTTGGAAGGCTCTTTGATCTGTCCAGACAGCTGAGTTTCCAGCTCCTTCTGCATTAGAAAAACAACAAGCAAACAAACAAACAAACAAAAACATTTAATATGAGCACTGACCTACTGTCTGTAGTCATGTGTTAGTACTGACATGCTGTCTGAGATTGTCTGTTAACACTCCTAATGTCTCTGGTTGTGTATTAATACTCTTCTAATGTCTGTATTTTGACCTGTTGTGTGCATTAATACTGACTGAGTATTTGTGTGTGTGTTAGTAGTGACCTGCTCCTTCTGGTTTTGTGTTAGTAGTTTCTCCAGCTGGTCCAGAGTCTCTTGGACCACCTGCTGGTACACGAGGTTCATCTGAAGACATGAGTCCACTGACGGTGACAGGCCAAGGTCACTCTGTAATCAGTGTAATTATACAAAGTTATTTCACAGTTACTGACAGAGGTACTGACAGCTTAAGGACATGGACGCTTACCTCCTCACTGATGCTGCAATCATCATCTGCCAGACAGAAAGCAGGAGACATTTATTTGCCTTTTTAAATTCTCTAACAAGTACCAGAGTTCCCAGTGTGGTTCCTTTAAGGTTCCTTCCTCATTTTTGATGTAAATTATATTTTAGCAGATAAAATGCATGGTGACTTTTTCATTAGTTTCTGATTATGTGAAAATAAATAAATAAATTCAGGCTCCACAGACATGCTGCAGGACAGCCAGAGAGAGGTACCTGAAACAATGATGGGACTGTGTGGTCCCAGCACTTCCTCCAGGTTCTGGATCTCTTTCTGGATTTTCTCTCTCTCAGCCAACAGACCTGCTGCAGACTGAATGCAAGAAAACACACACAGAGAGATTTTGTGTCTTTGTCGGAACTCTCATTCAATTCATGCACAGTTTTACTGTGAGATCTACCTGTCCCGCTGGGGTATCCACATCTTCACGATCACAGTCATCATCTAGTCAGAGATATAGCAGGTTATTTAGAGACAAGCAAACAGAGACCGCGATAAAGACAGACAGAGAGAGAAGATGGGTACCTGTCCCGCTGCTTAGGAGCTCCAGTTCAGCATTGGTTACAGACAGACTCCGTTCCAGTTCCTCCACCTCTCTCTGGATCTTGTCCCTCTTTGCTGCCAGAGAGGCGGACATGTCTGTGGACAGACACAGAGAAGGTTGCATTATTATGTCACGACAAACATCATGATGAGCCTTTAACCTGGTGATTTGGTTCAAACCGAAATATTTATTAATAAGCGTCTTTCTTTTGACCGACTTGTGGTCAGGGCAACCACTTCGATAGAAAACAACGCGCGCGGACGCACACACACAAACAAATATAAATATTTTTATTAACTTCCTGGTTGGGAACATTTATAAATATATGTATTAAAGACAAAACAATGTAAACGAGTCTTGTTCATTTTCTTTGTATAAAGCTTAAACTGAGTTTAACCTGAAGCAAACACTTTCAGATTCAGCAGTTGTAGCACTACTTGTAACAGCACTACAATACACACTGAGTAGTATTACTAACACACTGCACGAGCGTCTAAGACCTCAGCATCTCGTGCAACATCGTTTACCTATGTGTCTTTACCGAGTCTTATTACGTTTCTACTTTTTACCTCCACACGCGGGGACCTCCAATCAACGCGTTTCCGACGTTAACATATTACCCAGCAGGCTCTGCGGCGGGGAAAACTGTGCTTGGACGTTCCGTTGTTCACACTTAAGTTCCGGTTCAGAAAGTCCACAAAAACCATGCATGGCAATTTATTATTCCGTTTGTCACTGCGATGCTTCAAGCTACACGCAAGAAAGGACAAAAAACAAAAAACCCGCAGCCCAAAACCTGCAATGCCACCGATCCGTTGTTTGGTTCCTTCCCCCGATGTCACTTCCGGTTGTTGCGTATTTTCATTCAGCATAGAAGTCAGTTTTCTTCATATATTTTTGTTTTTAGGCCAAATGCCCACAGTCCATGATGAGCCCTAAAATTATTTAAGTAACGCTTTTATTTTTTTTCCATTAAAAAAACCCCCCTAGTTTATAAACACACAACTTGACTTCATATTTTACCACATTTTCTTTATTTTTTTTCTTTACTCTGATGTAAACTAAGCTTCAACTTGTTTACATGAAAAATCCTATTGTGCAACACTTTCTTTAGTCTCATTGTTAATCTATTTTTTTTCTAAATTATTTTTTAAGTCCTAAAAAATATAGTTTCTTTGAAGAAAAAGTAAAATCCAGTTCATAGCCACCGATTCCACTTTTCCAGTGTAAACACAAAAAGAATGAGGGCACATCATTGTTTTGTTCATCTTTCATTTTGTGTTCAGCCTTCGGTCAACGTCAGTCATCACTAGTTTATCATCAGGGGTTGGTGCGTCAGAGGTCTGAGAACTGAAGCTCCTCCTCTGATGACCTCAAGCCGAATATATGTTCATCTTCTGTTCAACTCATAAACTCCTCTCCATGTGGGTCATAATCCTTCTACCGACGTCGGTACAGGATGTCCCAGGTGTCCCTCCACTTCAGTCCTTGCAGCTGGTGGGCTGACAGTTCAGGGCTTCCATAGGTTAGGGGACAGAAGGTGCGGTAGGTCAGGAAGATTGACAGCAACACAGCCAATGCACCCACACACAATGCACGCTGATGTGTCACGCTGCTGCAGATGCAAACAGAAACAAATATGAACAAAAGTTTTTAGATAAAAACATAAAACATGTCACATTTTCATGAAAATTCAACAGTGAGATCTAAAGCCTGACAAAGTGTGCTTCTATGTCTAACTGGCCCTTTCACACAACATAAAGCAGGTACAAGTTCAGACTGTTTGCAGTTCCATCCATATATTTCTGAACACACCTCTGACGCGGTGTAAAGAAAATAGTGCAAAGAGTGTGTTGAATGCCCTAGTGCTGTGCTAGCCCAAAATCAAATCCAGTTTGGGATATTGTTTAAATGATGGTGCTTGGATGTGCACATTTTAGCTGTTGTTTGTTTCGAAGGCCACGTAAACACAGTGCAAAGTTACTATTCAACTACACCGCTTAAAAAGAAAAAAAAAATACAGAAAACGAATCAGCTCTCAATGGAGGGAAAAAAAAAAAAAAAAAAAAAAAAAAAAAAAAAAAAAAAAAAAAAATCACACTGGATAATTACAGTGGTCCCTCGATTATTGCAGGTGTTACGTTCCAAAAATTACCCACGATCGGTGAAATCTGCAAATTAGCCAACTTTATTTTTTACAATTATTATAGCTGTAAAACCCCTCACTACACTTTTCTTAGACAGGCATGAACATTTTTACACTTTTCTCTCTTGTTCAAACCGTCGTAGAAAAATAAGTCCAGTATTATAGAATGAAACCAAAGGCACCCGTGGATGCCTTTGACAGTGTAAAACGTTTCGTCGACATTGTTATGTTTGTTGGGGAGAAAACTTACAAACATACAATAGAGCACTTCAGAGTCACACTGCTAGTGATCAAAGATTTATGTAAATTTGACACGCTGAACACATTCTGTACTGGACAGGAGACATGGCACGAGATTGATTGACAGTGGTCTAGAGCCAATCAGGACGCAGAAGACAATGTGCTGTAAACAAACAAACAACATGGAAAAATCACACCAAAAAAATCTGCGAAACAGCAAGGCCGCGAAAGGTGAACCAGGTTATAGCGAGGGACCACTGCATACTGATACTAGACCAGGTTTGTGTTGGATGCCACATCAATTGATGGATATGAAAATTATCAATCTACAAAGGGCTAAATTCAAAGACATCTTGAAAATCAAAGTGAAAAAAATAATGCTGTTGGATAAGTCATTTTGCTGAAATTTCACTGCAGTAACATAAAATGGTACTAGGCAGTTTGTATGGCTCCACATGCATGATGATGTAAAACCCCTCACTACACACTTTATACACTTTTCTCAGACAGGCATGAACATTTTCACACTTTTCTCTCTTGTTTAAATACTCTCAAAGTTCAAACCTTTGTAGAAAAATAAGCCCAGTATTATAGAATGAAACCAAAGGCACCCGCTTTTTTGACGGTGCAAAACGTTTCGTCGACATTGTTGTATTTGTTGGGGAGAAAACTTACAAACATACAGATTTATGGTAGTATCAGTCTTAACCCTTGTGTGGTGTTCGTATTTTTGTTACTCAGCCAGTGTTCATGGGTCTGGTGGACCCGCTAGAGTTTTGGCTTTCCAAATTAACACTATCAAACAATTTTATGTTAAATTACTCAACAGATGTTTACTTCATCCCAATTACAAGACATATGAACAGCAAACATGGTTAATTTTTTCCCTTTACCTTTGTTAGATCACATTTATGAATTAATGTGCTTCTCGTTTTTCTTTTATATAAAATGTTATAAATAAATCAGTTATAATCAAGTGGAGTGAGTGGAAAGACACAACACATTTACACGTGAAAAAATAATTAATTGTTTAATTTTTCTTTTGAAAAAAACTGAACACGGGTCTCACAGACCCGAACACCATACAAGGGTTAAAGGCCTGTCTCTGTTTCTGTCTAGTCAGAGACATTCACACCAGGGGCATGCTGGAAGTCATTTTGTAGCTCTACCACTGCTCATCTTATTTCTCCCTGCACAAAGCAGCAGATACCAGTGCTAATGATGGCTGTCCCGCTCTTCTTATCCTCTATTCCAGTAGTACTTACTTGGATCTGCTTGGCTCGATTTGGTTTTTAGGGTTTTCCATTACCAGGTACTTAGCTTGGGTTCCAAGCAATTTCAGTCAAGATGAAAATGTGATGTCAGCAAGCTGCAGGCCACTGATTGGCCAGGGAGTGATGTCATTGAATGAGTTATGATAGTGACTTCTTCACAAGAATCGAAACCACCTTTTTTGAAAGCTGGCAAAAAGGGATATGGTTGCACATAAAATTTTGAGGTTTTCACAAGAATCTCATACAAATATTTCACACTAGAGCCTTGTTAGGAAATTTAAAATAGTGGAAGTGGATCGTCCTACTAAAATACAACCAACTTCTACTCAAGACAAAGCCACTAACTTTCAGCAGCTGTGGTAGAAAATGTCAGTCATCATAAGATAAAACAGGCAGTGGTTCTGTAGATGAATGAATGAATGAATGAATGAATGAATGAATGAGAAAATGGCAATATTAATCCCAGTTTAGTTAAAACCCCATTTACAAAATCCTAAAAACCACTCGCTGACTCTACTGGCAACTTCTAAGCAACCACTAAATAACAAAAATTTTAATATCCATTTTCTGGGTTGCATTAGGTCACCTTACCCAATGACTGATAGTTGCCAGTGACTGACACGATTAAGGTGAAAATTTTAATTTAAATCAGGAAAAAGAAGAGTAGCTCACAAGAGGCTGATGAGCGTACCTGAGCAGGTGAGTGTGTGCATGCTCCAACAGAGCTGGACTTAGTAGGTACAAGTAGCAGAGTGCTGGCAGGTAGTGATACAGGAAAAGAGTTTTGTCCATAAGCAGGAAGGGAACAAAGTTCACCAACCAGCCGCCAACGCACACACATCCCAGACACACAAACTGGTCCCACACACCTGAAAAAAACCCAAAAAAACCCAAAAACCACACATTTAGTTAGAAATGGTACCATAACCCGAACAGACAGCTGAGGTTAGACTTAGTCTCTGATGCAAATATGTCAGTGCGGACCATCTTTCTGCAGACCCATCTGGCCTTCCAGATGGGTCTGCAGAAACTGTATTTGTGCTCTGATTCTTCCTGTTTTACTGTCAGAACTCAGTGTGTCCCTACGTACCATCAGGTACATCTTTCAAGCCTCGCCTCCTCCTCAACAAGTAGACAACTGCCAGCAGCTGATAGGCCAGCAGGCTGAGATTGGCCACACCCCATGACACCGGGTTACCAATTAGATGGATCTGAGCCTGAAACAGAAAAAGTGGATTACAGGGCTAAACAGGACAAAGCGTGTGTGTTACTCTGCGTGTGTGTGTCGTGTTTTTACATTGGTGGAGGAGTGCAGCCAGTATGCAATGTTGGTCTCCATGGTGATCCACTCTAATGGGGAGGAACTGTATTTGTGCTCCGACTCTTCCTGTTTTACTGTCAGCATCTTCCACTGCCAAGATATCAGATTTGTTTTATTTTACTCCTTTCTGTTTCTTTGCTAGTGTCACAGGAATAAATCTGATTGGACAGTGAGTTTTGAATTCAGGTTCATACTTGCAGTTCAACAAATTTTGCCCAGAAAGAAATTTTTCTATCAACGTCGATATGAGTTGGAGAGTGAAGCTCTGCCTCCCGTTCCTTCTGCTCCTGACCTGGACAAGATTGACAGTGTGTGTTGTGACCTCACTAAAGTAACATTGCAAAGCTACTGAGTGATAATAGTGAAGAAAGAAGAAGGTCAAGAGGAGGAGGAGGAGTTTAGTGGCCATACTGGTTCCATAGCGGTGCTCCTCCACTGTCCATTCCAAACTGCTGCTGTGAGCTTTGAACAGTTTGTCTGCTACAACCTCCAACTGACGGAAACCCCAGTCTGGAAGGGACACACCACTCAGCTGCATTCGCAAACACACACAGACACACACAAACAGGCTGTAATAACTTCATATTGTACAGGCATTCAGCTGAGACATATTCTGTCTGCACCTTGAGGACAGCTGAAGTGTTGACATGAATGAGTCGGACTTCAGATAGGATGGTCTTCCACACCTCTGACTCTGCCTCCCTGTTTGAAATGTCCTGACCACACAAACACACCAACAAACAGCAGGCTCAGTAAAAAGCATTTCAGCCACTGATTAGTATAAAGGTAAGAGGGGTTTCCATATTTGAGCAGCTCCTGTAGGTGTAATGTAAACATGGCCCTGTACTCTTGTGCATATCCTATCTACAAAACACTCTCATGAGTAGATAATTTCGGCTAATTAATCCATCCTTTAGTTGACAATCTTCCAATCTCACCATTTTCAAATTGTTTTACCAGCTAAAGTTACTAATTAAGAATTAATGTAACATAGCTAAGTTACAGCAAGCTACCTAATCTAAACTGTAATATTTTACTAACTTATAGTAATGTTTTGGCTTATGCTAGCTGGCTCACAGAGTCTGAGCTTGTGCATGTACTGCATACAAATACGAGCAAAAGAATGCTAAATGCAGTTCAATTAATGGCCGTGGGAGTCACTGACAACAATCTTTTTCTGGAAGTTCTTTTTCTAACTTCGCTCAGTGCTTCACTATAGACTCGCCTCGGCATGACCAACTACGGAAGCTCCAATGACACCACGTCTGTCTATGACAGACCTGTCGAGCCGTGCTTAGGGCTCCGCCCCCTCATTCTAACACGGCCGACCAGCCCCTCCTAACTCATTCTCGCTTTCTTCCCGTGAGAAACTACTTTGAGCTCCCTCAGCGTATCCAGTTCTCAGGCGTCCCGTGTAGGAGTACGTTGCCGAAGTTTTTCCAGTTCCAGTTTGGATCGTGCTGAGTAAGTCCTTCGAAAGAAGTGTACTTAGAGTTACACTGTGGAACAGCAATCACGTCAGGTGAGCTGTCCCAGCGGTTCCTGGTCTTAGTTAGCGAGGTAGCCGACATTGTGTAACTCGGGCTAACGCGTTACGGTGAGCTGTTCGTTCAGTGTCCGGCTAGCATTAACTTGTTAGCAGGCCACGAACCACATTAGCGTCTTACTAGCATTAGCTTGTTAGTCGACCTAGGGTTCAGTAAGCATTAAGTTGCTAACAATATTGGCTAGCGGAGTGCAGCTAACATGTCACAATGAGCTGACTCCAGCGGTGACTAGCTCGGATTTAACTCCCGCTGCTAGTCCTAGCTACGTACGAAGGCCAAAGAGGATGCACCCCGCCCGTGCCCCGCATCATGCGGTGCCACCATCTCGGGCAGGGACCCTCATCCAATGTGCATCATCTGTATGGGTGCCAAGCATGCTCAGGCTTCACTGGCGGACCCTCAGGGATGCCCACACTGTGTGCTGATGCCAGAGAAAGTCCTGGAAAGGAGGCTGAATGTAGCAGTAACGAACAGTCAGGTCCCCTGCCTGTCCACCGCTACGAGTGATATCAGTCATTCGCGAGACTCCACAAGCTGGGCTGACATGATGGAAGAAGATTCCCCGCTCCAGCCCCCATCGTTCAAGGTCCTCCTCAATCAAAACGTGAGCGAGCCAGGTGGCGAGGACACAGAGGGCGATGCCAAATCCGACCTCCTTGACCTAGAGGACAGGATGAGGAAGAGGAGGATGACTCTACCTTTCCTCCCCAGCAGTCCAGACACCGGTGGACAGCAATTTGTACAAGGTCTGCAAACGGGCTGCCAAGCTACGCATCCCATGGCCAGCCGCCCAGGATGCCGAAGGGGCAGAATGTCACCTGTATGACGGAAAGAGGCTCCCACCAGCCTTGCCACCATCGAAGCAGCTTTTGCCAGCAGTCCCGGCTTGCATGAAAGAAATTAGTTGCTATTGGTCAAGCTCTTTAAAAAGCAAGCTTCCGACCAAGGGCTGCTCTAAGCTTGAGATCCACAGGATGGGTGAACTGTGGCTGACCGAACCCCCAGCAGTGGAGCCTTCAGTGGCGTATCATCTTCACCGTAACTGCAGGGCAATCTCAGTCTCTTCTAGCATTTCTTTGCCTAACAATATGGATTGCCTCACGGCATCTATTTATCAAAGGATGTACAAATATGCTGCACAGTCAGTATGCTCGCTTAATGCAGTCACACTGCTATAAGCATATCAGGCAGAAATTCTGGAAGACATGGGCCGTCAGCTTGACTCGGGTTCCCCAAACCCAGCCCTCTGGGATGAAATCTACATGGTTAATGATCTCATTCTTCGCTCCTCCAGGGGAGCAGTCCAGGGGTGTGGCTATGTTATGGGCCTTGCAGTCTCGGGTGAAAGAGCCTTGTGGCTAAACCCGTCGGGCCTAGGGGATGCTCAGAAGGCTGAGGTCATGGATGCAGCCTATGACCCAACCAAGGGTCTCTTTGGCCCAGCCCTGGAGAGAATGAGAGAGACAAGCACCCACAGAAAGCAGGAGGGAGAAGCATTAAACCTCTGCTTACCCAGAAAACCTAACTCTCAGCCCCAGCAGGTGCCGAGGGCTGGTTTTGCTGCAGCAGCAGCTGTGAGAGGGAGACAGAGTGGGGTCAAAATGCAGAGAGGAGCAGGAGGCCTGCAGTCACCCACCAGGCAAAAGTAGAGAACCAAAGACCTTGGGGCAAGCATTCCTTTGCAGCAGCTGCTGCAAAGAACAAGCCGTCACACCCCGGAGAGGGGGAAAAGAAGCGGTCAGCCTAGCACACATGCAACGTTCTGTGTCACCCCTCTCTTCTCCCCCAAAGAGAAGGAAGATGTTAGAAGGGGTAACCAAATCACTCCAAGGTTCAGAATCTCCGCAAGTTTCCAGTTCACCAGGAGCACCCTCTCAGTCTTCTCCTCCAGTTCAGGGAGGACAGACTTGTGGACAAATGGCGCAGTGTCACCAAGCACTCCTAAGCACTCTGTCTGTGTCACCAAGCACTGCCCAGAGTCACCAGGCACTTCACTGTGTTTTGGGGGAAACAAAAGAAATAAAACGTAAATTCCTGCAGCCAGGCAGTTTGCCAAGGGCAGAATGTCCCCCCCAGTTTCAAAATAAAAACAAAAGAAAATCACTGCCATTTGTCTTTGTCACCAGCGGGGGGAGCTCACGCTCTACCCGAGGGGGACAGCTCCAAATCCTTCCGGGAGACAGGGGTGACGTCACACTACCGCGTCTTCAGGGGCCCGCTCTGAAGCGGTGGAGCGGTGGCGCGCATGTGCAGTTCATCCCTGAGCATCCCGGGCAGGCGATCAAAGACCACTGTGAGGTGGTAGTCAATTACCTCACGGAGCTCGGTTTCACAATCAACCTGGAAAAGAGCCACTTGGAACCTGTACAGTATACAAAGTATCTGGGGCTCAGAATAGACTCCATCTCTTATCGCATCGCACTTTCAGAGCGGAGGATCGCATCCTTCACTCACCGTCTTTCCTGCTTTCAGCTGGGGAAAGTCGTGCTGCGGGGGTACCTCTCGGGGCAGTATCATCCAGGGTGACACTGACCACAGATGCATCCCTGTCAGGTTGGGGTGTAACTATGATGGGCAGAGCAGTGAATGGCGTTTGGTCACAGAGACTTTCGCTGAATCACGTAAATGTGCTGCAGCTCCGCGCGGTGCTCCTAGCCTTACGGCATTTTCTGCCGTATCTCCGGGGACAACATGTTTTAGTGAAAACAGACAACTCCACTGTGTCTTTGTACAGGTATGGCAAATGGACACACTGGACTGGAGGACCTATTGTTAGAATTCTAATTATTATTATTATTATTATTATTATTATTATTATATTGGCTGCCCTGGTGCTTATATCAACCACCAGGGCAGCACCCGTTCCCGGCAGCTACACAGGTTAGCCAGGGAAATAATTGCGTAGAGCAGCACATGGCTCCTCTCCCTTCGAGCAACTCACGTGCCAGGAATTATGAACAGGGGGGCGGACCTCCTGTCCAGAGGGAATCCACTGTTCGGAGAATGGAGGCTTCATCTACAGGTGGTGGAGCAGATTTGGCAGAGATACGGTTGGACTGCCGTAGATCCCTTCGCCTTACGAGAAAACACACATTGCCCTTTGTTTTTCTCCCTCTCTGTCAGACGCAGATGCGCTACTGGGCGTGGATGCGTGGGCCCATCCATGGCCAAAAACACTGCTGTATGCGTTCTCTCCCCTCAGCCTGATCTCCCCAACACTGAGCAGAGTGAGAGATCAGGGGCTGTCACTGATTTTAATAGCTCCACAGTGGCCATCCAAACACTGGATAGCAGGAATCATCCAGCTTCTGGTGGACGAGCCATGGCCACTCCCCATCCGCAGGGACCTTCTGTCTCAGGCACGTGGGGAGATATAACATCCCCATCCAGACCAGGTTGCTCTATGGACCTGGCCCGTGAAAGGTGGAATTTGAAGGCGGCAGGCATGCCTCCGAAGGTTATTGAAACCATTCAAAATGCTAGAGCCTCCTCCACTCATTCCATTTACAGCAGTAAATGGCGTGTTTTTGAATAGTGGTGCTATGAAAAGCAGATAATCCCTTTTCAGTGTTCAATGGTGGAGCTGTTGTGTTTTCTTCAGGACTTGCTGGACAAAAGGAGAGCTTTTTCTATCATAAAGGCCTATTTGGCAGCTATTTCAGCCTGTCACATGGGGTTTGGTGATAAACCTGCCGGTCAGCACCCCCTTTGTATGTCGCTTCATGAGGGGGGTGCGTCGAACGCTCCCAGTCTCTAGACCACTGGTCCTTTATGGGATCCGTCAGTCGTTTAAGACGCACTCTCCCACCACCCCTTTGAGCCTATCGGGGCAGTGGAGTTGAAGTTTCTCTCTCTTAAAACCGCTCTGCTGTTGGCTCTAACCACAGCCAAGCGAGTTAGTGAATTACAGGCTTTGTCTATTCATCCTTAACACAGCATTTGTCTCTAAAGTGTTGGAAACATCATACAGGTGCTCTACAGTAGAGCTCCTGGCTTTTCACCCTCCTCCATTCTCCTCAGAGACAGAGCAGAGGCTGAACACTTTGTGCCCTGTGCAGGCCTTGGGGACTTATGTTGGCAGAACAGCCGGATTCAGGAAGTCGGATCAGCTGTTTGTTTCCTGGGCCTCCCCTCACAAGGGCAGGCCCTTATCACGCCAGAGGCTAGCTCATTGGATTGTAGAGGCCATAGCTCTGGCTTACACCTGTAAGGGCTTGCAGTCCCCCCCCGGGACTCCGAGCTCACTCCACTAGGGAATGTGGCCACATCCTGGGCTTTGTTCAGAGGTGTATCAGTCCAGGATATTTGTGCAGCAGCAAGCTGGGATGTTGCACAGTCATCCCTGGCTCAGGCAGTGCTGGATTCTGGTGCCTCAGGTTCGACCAGAGATCCTGGAGTAGTACTGGAGCGTAGCTTCGGGAGCTGACCCAATCCGGAAGTGGACCATATCTCCCATAGTGAAACAACGAGCAAAGTTAGAAAAAGAACGTTGGGTTACTTAACGCAATCCCTGGTTCTCTGATGACAGAGTGAGGCGTTTCACCAACACTTCCCTCCTTGCTTAGGCACGGACAGAGTGCTTAGGAGAAAGAAATCTGCTTGGAATAAGTTAGGAGGGGCTGGTTGGCCGTATTAGAATGAGGGGGCAGAGCCCTAAGCACGGCTCGACAGGTCTGTCATCGACAGACGTGGTGTCATTGGAGCTTCCGTAGTTGGTCACACCGAGGCGATTTCCATAGTGAAACACCTCACTGTGTTATCAAAGAACCAGGGATTACATTAAGTAAGCCAACATTATCCCATACTCTTTTAATTAAATGTGTGGGTGCACTCCTGTTAATTTAGACAGAGATCAGAAATCACATGCAGCACAAACTGTACTCACCACCCTCCACAGGTTCTGTGCCGGCATAGACACATTGAAGTCTATGTATCCAGAGACTTCCTGAGTGTGAGGGCTCATTGGAGCTGCTACGTCATGACTGAAACACAACCATTGTAACACTGAAATAAACCAGCTGATGGTAAACAGGCAGGGACACACAGAGCTGATGGAGAGGGGTCGACTACAACCCACAGAGGGCTATTTATTCAGTACAGAACTTCAAAGTACTTTTTTGACCTAACCATTTATTTCCAAAGAAACTTGAGATTAGCAACTTTTCTATTTACTCATTGCCTCTAAATGTTTCAAGTTTTGAGCTCCAGAGTTACTGAGACAACAGAGCCCTCAAAAATCAGGACATATCCTGAGTTGTTTACCTGTTAAGAAAACGTGACGTCATCCCATGAACCAGCTGGATGACATCACCGTGACGGACAGGTCGAGGAGGAGTGTCGACCACCAGCTTCTGCCTGACAGAGATATAGACAGTAGTTACACATGGGCCACGTCTCCATGTATAGCACTTGAAGAGAAATGTGATCTACCTGCCCGGATCTTTGATGATCCACCAGTTGTTGACATCTTTGAAGGGATAACAGGTGACCTGCTGCTGGTGAGAGCTGCCCCGCCCATTGTCATACCTGAATAAAAACAGGAAACATCATTAAATAAATCATGAAGTTGAACTGTAACTGGGATGCTTTTTGAAGCAGGTGCTTAGCTGCTGTGTTGGAAGCACCTGATTGGATAGTTGACTTTGTGAGAATGGAGCCAGCAGGGAATTGGCTGGGAGACAGAGCTTCTCAAAGTCACCTGACTCCCATAAGCCACTTCTAGAGGCTGACCCCGAGTGATCCTGGAGAGACCGCCCTACAACACAAAAATCAATCTATCAATCCGCTCCAGAATGTGATATTCCACTCTTTATACACCCCTTTGCATTTAATCATTAGTTATTATTAATCTCTGGCTCTCTTCTGCAGTGTTCCTTTCGTTTTGTTTCCCTTTCCCCACCCCCAACCCATCACAGGAGATATGAGCCTCTCCCTCAGCTTAATTCTGCTGGAGATTTCTTCCTGCTAAAAGGGACTTTAAACAGTTTTTATAAACTCTGAATCACAAACCATTTGAATTAAAATGTCAAAGGCAGCAGTGAGATCGGGAAGGACAAAGACTGAAACTTTATGTTAATTAATGCTGATCTTCAGGTTACTGATAACCTTAGTAAGACCTGCTTCTGTGCTGTGATTGGTTCTGAAAACTGCGGGGTATTTATCATAAATACAGTGAGATCAAAGATTTAGATTCACTTGTCGGTAAACAAACATTTCAAAACTTTCTAATCTGTTTTCTCTCAGGAAACAGGTCTATAATTACTAAGTGTAGCTGACAGTATTTACCTGCAGGCTGGCCTGGAAAGCAGAACTCATCAGCTGGTCATGTGGTCCGCTGCGGTTCAGGAAACTCAGGTGAACGTAGAACCAGAACACATAGAGCAGGACTGGAACCACCACCAGACACAGAACTCTATGTACACTTTGCACACACACATTCATCTGCACAAAGACATGCATGCAGGATCATTATGTTCTTAGAATCACATTTTTTCATATCATAAATATAAACTGTATGGAAACACTATAACACCCAAAAAAATACATAAATAAATGAAACACTCAGGCAATGCTTTTATTTATTTATTTTTTTTTAACATAGTGCTAAACTGCTATTATTAAAACATTGCAGACAAATACTTTTATGCACGTAATGTACTTACATCCTGCCTCACTAGAAATACTATCTAATTCCTAAGGAAAACACTGCACCAGTTTGGAAAGTGTCCTTTTTGAAGCCTTTACATTTACAGAGAAGACCCTGCTCTATGTTAACTGTATTGGGAACACCGTTTTACAAAACCATGACTTTTTGATACTAAAGATGACATGAAACTGGCAAATTAGTCCATAAAACACAACAAAAACAGTTCCTGAGAATGGATTTTGTGGAGCTGGGAACCATTTTTCAAAAGACACATGACATGGAGTATTCTTGAAAGTAGCAGCAGTCATAGCTGCAAAAGTAGCGTTTGCCAGCTAAATGCTGGATATGATACAATCAGGAAGTCTAGACTCACATGACTGATAGTTTTGTCTCCAATAAGCTTCCAGGTGTGCAGAGAAGCCACGACCAGCAGCAGCAGATATGAGAACAGACCCATGTACTTCACCCTACACCAATCACATTTTCACATTAACATTTGCATTTTAAACAACAGCACACGCTAGAGAGCAACAGGCCTTAAATCACTTTCTCACCCTACAGCCGCACCGCAGGAGACACCAGAGAGAATCAGCCAACTGTATCTGGACCAGGAGCTGAGGAGGAGAGAGTAACCATATGACGTCAGAGCAGAGAAAGGGTCTGTTTAAAACGGAAACAAACTGTTCAACTCAGTTTAGTTGTATTAACGTCGCACTAATTTAAAATAACATTTGCTTCAAGTTACATTAGACTGCAAGGTACAAACCCCACAGTATTAATGAGAGAATCCCGAGTAATCACATGATCCCCTATTAGCTAGCACTTGGCGAGAGTAGGGATTAAGAACTTCCTTTTAAGATAAAGAAACCTCCAGCAGCTACTTGTCTATGTTTGAGAGTGGCCCATAGAGTGAACACACTATACCACACAGCTCTCCTTAATAACAGCAACAGCTGAACATGTGAAAATACAAGTTTCAAAAATATATTTTAAAAAATGGAAATTTTAACCACCAATTGCTAGTCTTGGTAGCCAGGGATCAGCCCGCCAGAGCCTCTGCAATTCCTGTGGGTTGTGGGCCTACAGGAGGATGGGCCCATGTCCTTTTTTCAGCTATGCCCAGCCAGGCCCCATGAACTAAAGCGTTGCCACCAGATGTTTGGCCTTAGGCACCCCCCGGGCCTGGCTCCAGGGTGGGGCCCCAGTAACCCTATCCCAGGCAGAGATAGTGCAAACTGTTCTCTTGATTGTATACTTATAGGGTTCTTTTGAGTCGGTCTTTGTCTGGTCCTCACCCAGGACCAATTTGCCATGGGCAACCCTGGGCAACCCTGCCAGGGGGCAAAAGCCCCCTGATAACATTGCCCTGATTTTGGGAAGGCTCTTAATGTTGTAGGGCTGTCTTGGTTGAAGTGCCTCTACAATGTTGCGTGAAGATCAGGGGCAGTACCTCCGGATTAGCAGACCAGGGTGGTGGTTTCCATTTTTAAGAAAGAGGACCGGAGGGTGCGTTCCAACTCTAGGGGAAAATCACACTCCTCAGCCTCCCTAGGAAAGTCTACGCCAGGGTGTTGGAAAGGAGAGTCCATCCGTTAGTTGAACCTCGGATACAGGAGGAACAATGCGGTTTTTGTCCTGGTCGTGGAACACTGGACCAGCTCTTTTACCCTCTCAAAGATACTTGAGGGTGGTTGGGAGTTTGCCCAACCAGTCTACATGTGTTTTATGCACTTGGAGAAGGCATTCGACCATGTCCCTTGGAGGGTTCTGTGGGGGGTACTCTGGGAGTATGGGATGTCTGGCCCATTGCTACGAGCATTTGATCCCTTGCAAGAAGCTCGGTCCGCACAGCCGTCAATAAGTCAGATTAGTTTCCAGTGGGTGATGGACTCTGCCTGGGCTGCCCTTTGTCAACAATTCTTTTCGTTAATTTCATTAACAGAATTGTCCCACTGGGAGGAGGCAGACCCAGGGCACGCTGGAGAGATTACATCTCTCGGCTGGCCTGGGAACGCCTTGTGTTCCCCCAGACAAGCTGGTGGTGGCTAGGGAGAGGGAGGTCTGGGTTTCTCTGCTTAGGCTGCTGCCCCTGAGTCTAAGCCGCAGATAAGTGGAAGAAGAAGGATGGATGGAAATTAGGATTAGTCAAGACTAAAGAAGCTGGTTTATGTGTATGTCCTACAGAAATGTAGGAGTAATTCAATATAACATGGCTAACTGTTGGATTTATTCTGCTAACAGCTTATCTGTGAAGTTTGTATTCCCGTTTTGATGAGTGAAATTGTAGTATTTTATTTGCACTAATTAGCAGACATGTGTATGTGTGTGATACATTCATTTCTACTGCATCTAAAACTACACAAAGTATAATTAATCCTTTGGTTTGAGAAAATCTGTTTTTAAGTTTCATTTTGGCTTTTGTGCCATTTTTGAAGCCAGAAATGACAACCTTTGACAACTAGAGAAGAGAGTTATCACCTACAAATGTTTTTTCTACAAGGCTGTTGATGTAATTTTTAATGCAGTTAAGTCAAACACTATAAAAACGAAGTCTGATTTTTGAACCACATGAGGAACTGCAGTTTTTGGCGCTTCCACATGGTTTAAAGTCCCTGAGTTAACCAAACTTGCTAGCATTAGCTGATAATTTAGCGCTCCACTTATTAATAAAAATAAGAAGGTGGCCACCATAAAACTATAACTGAGGGCTTCAAAACAAACCAGTGGGCAATATCACAGTGGCTACAGCCATCTTTAATTTACAGTCTACACTTTCTACACATGAGAAGAGAAATCTGAGACTAACCTGCTGGGTGCATTGTGGAAGCGCAGGTATGAGAAGAAAGCCAGGAGCACGAAGAAGATGAGGACAGACTCAAGTAACATGAAACGTGATTGGACAATCAGAGAGTTCTCTGGAACAGCAAAGATCCAAAGTCAGACTTGACTGAAAAGAGCAACCCGTCTGCATATTCACCGGGAAAGTATCACTTCACTGGTTTATAAAAAGCAGCAGCTAAAAGGCTTTTCAGCAGGAAGACGTTAACTCTTACTCAGCATGGACGCACTCACCCAGCAGCAACAGCACTGCAGCTCCCAGAGCAGACAGGTGGGAGAACTTCAACTCTAAAGTCAACAAGTAGACCAGAGGAACACAGAGAGCTCCACAAAGGGCCGGCAGAAGCCTCAGACTCCACACATTCACCGTGCTAGGATACTCTGCAAAACAAAACAAACACACACTAATTTTAAACAGACCAAAACCAAGTTAGACGGGAGGAAATATAGAAACTGGTTTCCAAAAAAAAAAAAAAAAAAAAAAAAGGCGGCACACGCTGGTTTATATAGATTAACAAATTTTCTGGTTTAACCTAGGGCTGGGCGATATGACCCAGAATTCATATCTCGATATTTTTTAGCTGGATGGCGATATAAGATATATATCTCGATTTTTTTTTTTTTAAAGCCATAAGTTAAGAACAAAAAGAGAGTTCTAGTCACACTGTGTCCCAGATGTGGGCGCTTTTATTTACATACAGCGTAGATGTACATGAAGAAATTATTCAAAAATAAATTATCAGCATTTATTAAATAATCATGGTCCATAAATAAAAGAAAACAATGTTTTTTTGTGCATAACAAAAAGCTCACAAATTGTGCAGTCAAAATGTAAACTAATAGACGCTGAGCATAGTAACAAAGAGACAGATTTCACAGCTGCACCACGTCTCTGAACAGGTGCCGTTTGTGGTCCTTATACACACACAGTACGGTAATATTACGTTGAAGCACAGTACGTATCACTCCGCGAGGCTCCTCCCCGGTAGCCCTAATCCTCCAAGACAATCCATCAAGCGGTGCAGCTCCGTAGCTTAGCAAAGTCATATTAAAACATTTTTTGACAGATTGCCGAGCGCTGTGTACCACATAAAATCGGTTCGCGGTCAGTAAGCACAACCAGAATTCATACATAAGGCGCACTGTTGAGTTTTGAGAAAATGAAAGGATTTTAGGCCGTGCAGCCCCTCCTGGCTGCATGTCGTTAGCGCGGTTAGCTCGTTAGCGCGGTTAGCTCGCTAACACGTTGACGCCATCCAGCCCCACGCACGGTAACTCGCTAACGGAGATTTTCCGCTTTCATCTTGTCATTGCCTGCAGGTGAAGCTATGGGGGAGGCGGAGTTGTGTGCAGTGAAGGAGAGGCGAGGCCGAGTAACGTTGCGTAGAGACAAAAGTGGACGAAAGAGAGGCAAACCTGCGGCTCCACAAGTATAATTATAACGTAACATAGACTATATCGATATAAACGATATTGTCACATCTTATATCTCATATGAAAATATATCGATATTTTTAAAAAACTCGATATATCGCCCAGCCCTAGTTTAACCTCTAACTGGATGAAATCATTTTTGGGGATTTGTACCTGCTCCAATTCTGTTCCACACAAAGTTCCCATCAAAACCTCCCAGGTACGCTAAAACAGCAAAAGCAGAAGCACATGTTGGAGCAAAGTATAAATAAAGCTGTACACTCACAAAGGGCTGTGTTGGTATTTTAATAACCCACCTCCAAAGGCCAGGATCATATGACCGAGAGGTGGTCCGCTGTCATCAATGAAGAAAACCCTCTTCATGTAGAGAGACACAAACTGACCATAATACACCTCATCAAACCTGCACAACGGTCAAGGTATAAAAATCAGTTAATAACAGAATGAAGCTTGGTACGTAAGTTTGTATGTGGGTGTACATGATGTTCAGGTGTGTGAAACAGATGCACTCACACCACAGCATTGGGATAATTAAGATGGCTCAGCCTGGTCCAGAAGGCCAGCAAGGAGACCAGCACCAGAAGCAGGTCTACCTGGGCTGTCACCACCAGGGGGAGCTGTAGCATCTCTGACACACAGCTGTGACTGTAAAATAGGAACATATAACCTCTGATTAATAGTAATTAATTTATAACTAAAACAAAAAAAAAACAACCTCTTTACATCATTGAAATTGACTTCTCTATCATTCTTGCGCTATCTGCCCTTTCTGGAGGAAGATACAACACCCTGTCTGAGGTAAGAACAGGAAGTTTTAGTAAGTGACATTACAGGACTATTAATCCGTTACTTAAAACAGATGTGTCTGCTGTATCCGTACAGTTTATGGAGGGAGCCCTTGCTATCTAGAGCTACTACAGAGAGACAGACAACCAGTTTCACTCACACTTACGGCCAACTGCCAACACAGCAAACTCCACAACCTACTAGTGGAGCAGCACGTCTGAGGCAATAGTACTACCCACCACACCCTGGAGCCAGGCCCGGGAAAGGTGCCTAAGGGCAAACTTATTTTGCCATGATTCTCAAAACTGAGCTCAGCTGCATCCTGCTTCCACGGATCATCTGTTAGTTACTAAAACTGGATTGGGATCAACCTGTGGTAAATTCAGATGATTGGACTTGATTGGAAAGACACATGCCAGAGCACAATCCAAGCCATAAAGTTCAAGGAATTGTCTGTAGATCTCTGAAACAGGATTGCATCGCGGTACAGATCTGTAAAAAAAAACTCTGCAGCATTGAAGGTCCCAACGAGCACAGTGACCTCCATTAACCTTAAACGAAGAACTTTAGAACCACCAGGACTCTTCCTAGAGCTTGCTGCCCAGTCATTCTGAACATTTAGAGTAGAAGGGCCTTAGTAAAGGAAGTGACCAAGACTGTGATAGTCACTCTCATAGAGCTCCAACATTGCCCTGTGGAGAGAGGAACCTTCTAAAAGAGAAATCATTTTGCAGTATGAAAACAAAGTTCTCTGGTCTGATGAAACAAAGATTGAATTCTTTGGCCTAAATGCCAAGCATCACCTGGCCAATACCATCCTACAGTGAAGCATAGTGGTGGCAGCATCATGCTGTAGGGATGTTTGTCAACAGTAGGAACAGGGAGATGGGTCAGGGTTGGGGAAATGCATCAATATGCAGAGACATCCTTGATGATTACCTGCTCCAGAGTGCTCTGGACCTCTGACCTCTGGACCTTCTAACAGGATGACGACTCTAAGCACAGCCAAGATAACAAAGGAATGGCTTTGGGACCACTTTGTCTTTGAGTGGCACAGCCAGTGCCCAGACTTGATCCCGAATGAACATCTCTGGAGAGATCTGAAAATGGATGTGCACCGACATTCCCCATCTAACCCGATGGAGCTTGAGAGGTTCTGCATAGAAAAGAGTTTCTATTATGGAGTACTGTTGTGTATAATTTTGAGGGGGGAAATGAATTTACCCCATTTTGGAACAAGACTACCTTTAAAAAATGTGGAAAAATGTGGAGACTTCCTGGATGCATTGTAGCCTTGTGATTGACAGGTGATATGTTCGGGGTGTATGCTCCCTCTTTCCCTATAGCACATGGGACAGGCTTAAATTCCTGGTCACAGGTCCAACTACTAGACTACCTAGTGTCAGTGGATAACTTAACACTCCACCCTCTTGTCCTAATTACGTTGTTTTTTTTGTTTTGTTTTTTTTTGTGAATCGCTACAAAAACCCAAACATGGCAGCAAGCAAATCACAATTGGCAAGTGAACAACAAATGGGTGACACCACAGTGGCTAAATCCATATTTTATATCAAGTTCGTAGCTTTAACACACACATTAGTGTGAGGTCAGTGTGGCAGTGTTCTAGTTTTTGCCCCTGTACACCCCCAGCACGAAGGTCTTTCAAGGAGTACAGCAATTGCAATTTTGTTAAAAACAATTAAAGGTTATATAGAATCTGCACTTCAATCACAGCTTCGTTGCTTCAATCGTCCTGAAGCCTCAGTTCATAACACATTTCCTGGATGTCCCCTTCTCTAAAAAAAAAAAATCGCACACAGTATCCCTCAGCGTCCTGCCCCTGCTGCTGTTGCTCTGATCCGAAACAGCCTGACCTCACAGTGATGTGTTCACGTGTCTCTGAGTACGGGTCGGGATGTTGCAGCAGTGAACCTCCCGTTTTTCGCCCTCAGCTGCCTCTTTGTCACATTCTTTAATAAATATGTGCAGCTTCGCTTTAACGCCACGTTAGACGTTCTTCTACACATAAGAGCAATTAGCATTAGCATACTAGTCTCTAGCTAAGAGGCGCTAAAGCAGCAGCTGCCTTCCTCACTCCTCGTTTTCCTCCACACCGTGTATGTTACCTGTGGCCCAACAGGTTAAGCTCATCTGTTGCCGTCCGCTTCTTGCCGTTTCTCCCGGTGTATGCTTTGAACTCAAGAGGCGTATAAACGAAGTTTTATAGCAGCGGCCGTTCGAAGCTTCCGGTGATTGATTATACTGCACTACCATCGGTTCGCTCGGAGCTCCACTACATGGCCTGTGGCTGGCCGCTGAAGGAGCATTACAACGGCGTGTTTAGAAAACTAAAAGTTTTAGGAACGGGTCTTACATTTAATACTACTTTTAATATTAATAATTCATTAATACTAATAATTTCATCTGAAAATTAGCCCAGTCGAAAAATGTATAAACCACATGAAAGGGAGCAGTTTCAAATGTTCATCGCAGTCCACCTTGGACTGACTGTCACTCCCAGGGTGAAGGTTGGCACATAATTGCGATCTCATTTATAGACACAGACAGACGATTTTTAATGACTCGTCGCAATTAATTACCATATTATCACAACCCCATCTTCTTACTTTATTGCCATCATGATGTACCAAAGTCACTTTGAAGACACCAACTGACCGTGAGCGGCTGCAGACCTAGTCCTGTCTTTCAAAAGCAATGAGATTTCAAGTTCATTGCAAATAACTGAAATAACTTTGGTCATGCTCTGGTCTCCAGCTACTGTTTTCCCCAGTGTGATTGTAACTAATCTAAATGACCTCGATTTGCGCAGCATTGTAAAATCGTAATCACCAAAGATCCATTTTGACAAAGCTAGTAGACCCCAGGATAGTCAAAATAAAACTTGTGAAACTTGTCGTTTTAAACAAACTGTTTTATTGTAATACAGTTTACAGAGAAACACCTGCTGTTCACCCAGTTTTAAACAAACAAAACAATCAAAACAACCTTAATTTACACAGGCATTCTTTAGAAGGTCAGTGGTTTAGTATCCTGCAATAGCAGGAAAGGGTGGGGGGTGGGGTTTGGGGGAGGTGAAAGGGGTAAAAACAGTAACTAGTTCTCTAGTTTTGGCCTGTCCAAACACTATTTTCATTAACACAATCATAGAGACCTTACTATGACAACTGGAATTCAATTGAAAATTGGCCTTTTTTAAAGTTTCGAGCATCACATAAACATTCTCATGTTCCACATATATGTACCGTATTCACATTTTTCAAAAACAAAGAACAAACAAAATGTTATCACCAAAGTCATTTTATACTGAATAACAGGTCCTGCCTCAGATTCATCAGAGAAACAAAACACGTTTTCTTTTCTTCTCTGTTCTTTTTTTGCTAACACAATACTGTGGCCACAGCATGATGCCTTCAAAGACTCAACGGAAACACCGCCGTCCACAACGACATGGGATGTAGAGAGTAAAATGTGTTTCCGTAGGTTTTTCTTTTCCTTTTTTACATTTTTTTATTGGGGGGATGGGAGTGAAGGGAGGCTGGGGATTATAAAGTGACACTGAGATGTGTTTAGTTGCACATGGACAAACAAATGACAAGTTAGATGGAGATATGTGACATCTGAAGAATCCGTTTTCAGACGTTCATATCAGATGGAGACATGTACAGAGCTGTACAAGGAGTAGACTTTCTCTGATAATCCTGCTGCATTAACACTTTTCGCAAAGAGGCCCTGATCCTAAACAAGATTGCATCGTACTAAACAGTCAGAATTTTTTGTCAAATGCCAGACATGGCATGGATATGAAATAGGAAATTGTATTAATGACTATTCACAACATAATGTCCAAGCTGCGCTCACGCTTTCCCACAAATGCTGCAACACAAGAGATCGGGGTCAGAATTGAGTGAGAGGGAGAGACTCTCTTTGGTGAACCTCGTGGGGTTTGATGCAAGTCCAGTTTGTAACGTCAGTTTCTGCACTGGCAGCATTTTTGCGTAGCCGTATCAGAGGGGGGAAAGGCTGGGATGGGTCATATGGCAGATTTAGGCAGATTTGTGAGGGAACAGAAAACATCGAGGAGCATTTGTTTCATGTGAGAACAGCAGGGCTCTTGGCAGTGGCTTTGGTTGCTGCAGGGTGGGAGGGTTTGGGAGTCCAGGTGGTTCATGCGGAGTCCAGAGTAGTAGTTGTTGTTTTGTTGTTGGTGGTGGTGAAGGTGGTATTGGTGGCGGCGGAGCTTTTCATATCATTTATGATCGTTTCCTCCTTCCCTCCAGGTTTCTGAAGTTGGATGGCCGGATCTTCATCTCAGCAAACTCAATTGAGTGCTCATGGCCTTTCCAGTGGAACCAGTTCACGCCCTGGAGAGGCGGCAGGCAAGATGTGCAAGTCAAAAACAGAGTGAAACAGAAGGGCAGTTTCTACCAGACTCATATTATGCACACTACCAATGAAAAGTTAGTCATTGACAACTGTTCCTTCTAAATTTAGATTTAGAAGTACATTTATTTTTATCAAAATAACACGAAAATAATCAAGATAATGAAAAACGATTAGTGGAGTCATTAATCATAAATCAGATTCATGATTTCTAATGTCTACTGTAAAATGCCTGGAGCACATATTCAGGCAGTTATTTTTGACCCAGTCAGAACCCATTAAATGTGCAACAACTGTACTGTAGGTTGTGCTGCAATGAACTATTCATTACCTTGCTGTGACTGTTGTCTCCATATCGTCCCATCAGATTAACCCGGTGGCAGTTTTTATACCAGAAGGCTCCCTTATAGGACAGAGCGCAGTTGGTGACGGCAATGTCGTTGTCATGGTCATAGGTGGAGAACGGCCGGCCGTGGTGGTAGGTCATGGAGTCGCCTACAGAGGCCAAACAAGAGAGTCATTACATTTTTGCTGTGATTAAGTTTCCTGATTCAGAGAGACACAGCATTGTCTACACTCACTACAGATGAACACAGCCAGAGTTGTTTCTCCTAAGTCGCCACCATAACTAGGATTATGCATTTGAATTAAGAAGGGTAAGAAAACTGCAATCTGCAATCTACTGACATCCAGTGGTGAGATTTTACACATTGTACCGACGAGTCCCGACCTGACTCGTGTATCGCAAAACAGAGTGACACAAAAGCACACCAAGGCAGCATATAAACAAGGCAAATGAAGCCCATCTACCACACACAGGCTCCTGCATTGCCGCTGCAAGGCCAGTACTGGTGTCAAAGACAAAGTATCAAGAGACATTTAAATCACTGTGCATAAACTGTAGAGCACAGATACTAGCTTTACCTGCTGTACCGCTGTATCCTCCTACGTGGACTTTGTAGCGGGTCCGGGGTTCACCGACTGAGAACTTGTCATACTGAGCATAGGCTGTATCTCCCTTATCTCTCAGGTCTACTCGCAGTTCGTACTGACCGCTGGCTGTGATCTTATGCAGGTTGGACAGACCTGAGTGAAAAAGGAGACAGCTGAACAATGGCTTACAAAAGATCCTATTATCAAACTAAAAGTATCATTCTACACATTACAAATGTTTAGCATTTAAATGACTACTATCTATGGAGCTCTTAGATGAAATTTATGCCTATGTCCATCCCTTATGCAGTAGCCTACTCTGTAATCCAAGCTCATTTTATGTTAAGGGCTGGACAACTCAAACTCCCCTTTCTGTAACTGTAAAGATGTTTAACTACACATAAATGTTTATTATAAAGTAAAAAAACAGCAACTTTTCTGTCATGTAACTTGTTCATTTATTATCGAATTACTTTGGTTTACTATGTGGCAGAGATCTTTACCAGAAGAAAAAAGATGTAAAACCTATGAACGTACAATCAAAAATTACATAATTTCTGCCAGAGCGGGCCAGATTAGAGTCTTTGCCAGGCCAGTTCTGATCATTGGGCCTTATGTTTGACAACTAACTAACCAAGTAGTGTTTTGGCCCACCACATACAAGTATGCCATCAACAAGGTTGGCGACATGCAGAAATTTCATTGTAGGCTCTACATAGTTTTAACAAAAATTAGTTTTAAAACTATGTAGTTAAAACTATAACTTGTTAATTAACGTTTGCTCATTTCCTATTTTACTTTGAATGCTAGTTTTCCCTTTTTTACTTTCTGCCCTTTCCAGCCTTTGTGATTGCCTCCTCCTCCCTGATTATTTTTACTTTCCTTTAATTGCTTCCTCATGTGTTCCATCCTCACCTGTTTCCTTTTTGCCAGCTTTCCTTCTGTGTATTTAGAACCGTTTCTCTACCTTTGTCAGATCTTGCTGTTGGGACCTGAGTTACTTTCTTAGTGTGGTCCTATTACTCTGTGCTGTGGAAATTTCTGGAAATGGAAGACTTTCTGGAAGTTTAACTTTTTGGATTTTTGTATGTTTGAACCGCATTTTTGTAAATTATGTTTAACTTATGTGTGTAGCTATTTTGGACCCTGATATATGACCACGTCCTGTGTATTATGGAAAACTCTGTGGTTCTTTGTTAAAAAATTACCCAGCCAAAATTCATCATTCATGTCTCCAAAGCCGCCTGTGTAATTCTTCCAGTTGCGGAAGAACTCTAGTTTGCCACTTTGACGTCGGAGGAAAACCTGCAAAGAGAGAGAAAAACAAAGAATAGATTTAATAAAAATCTTGTTAAGGAAAGCAAATGGACAGTATAAAACTTGAAAGCAGTTCTCGAGCTGGATAAAGAGAGTGCAGTGTTGGACCTGCTTTCTATTTGAAGGCAACCAGATGACCATAGCTGTGGTTGCAAAAAGATGTCTTAATATATGAAAGTCTAGAGGTAAACGGTTTTCCCTCATGACTGCTATAACACGTCACATTGAACTAAAAAAAGTCTGTTTTGTAAGGTGAGCTGCCATTTGTTTTTGTACCCATTTTCTCCTGGTTTTATTAGTCCATTGAGATAAGCACTTTTTGTATTTCAAATTCAAATCAAATTCAAATTTTATTTGTCACGTACACAGTCATACACAGTACGATATGTAGTGAAATGCTTGGACAACTGCTCGTGACCTAAAGAAAACAAAAAGGGAAAAGGCTATGAATAAGATAGGAAATAAATATGAAAAATTAAAAAGGGTAAATTTAACTAAGAAGGAATAAAATATAAATTAAGGTTAAAAATGAAATAACTGTACAACACAAATTAGAATGAAGGGTAAATTTAACTGGGAAGGAATAAGATAAAATATATAAATTAAAGTTGAAAATAAAATAACTGTACAACAAAATACACAATATAGAACTATATAAGAATGTATGAAGAAATCTAAATATAAATAAATATATACACAATAACAGCAGCTGTACAAGTATTAACCGGAAATGAAGAATATAGTGACCAGTGTTGTGCAAAAAAACAATGTGTGCAAAAACAATGTCCAGAAAGTCCAGTGTGTGTGTAAGAACCATATGTGTGGGTCAGTACTGTGTGGTGGTGTGATTGAGAGACCGTATCGCCTGCGGGAAGAAGCTCCTCCTCAGTCTCTCTGTGTTGGTCTTCAGGGAGCGGAATCGCTTTCCTGACCTCAGCAGAGAGAACAGTCTGTCGTTGGGATGGCTGAGGTCCTTCACGATCTTCCTGGCCTTGGTCCGGCACCGCCGGCTGTAGATTGAGTGCAGGTCAGGGAGCTCGGAGCGGATGGTGCGCTCAGCTGACCGCACAACCCTCTGTAGAGCTCGTCTGTCCTGCATGGTGCTGTTCCCGAACCAGGTTAAGATGTTTCCCGCCAGGATGCTCTCTATGGTGCAGGAGTAAAAGTTCCTGAGCACCTTGGAGGGCAGTTGGAAGTCTCTCAAGCGTCTGAGGTGGTAGAGACGCTGTCGGGCCTTTTTCACCACGGTGTTGATGTGACAGGACCATGACAGGTCCTGCGTGATGTGAACTCCGAGGTATTTGAAGCTGTCCACTCTCTCCACTGGGCACTCGTTGATGACGGGGGTCTGGTAGTTCCTCTCCTGCTTAGTGCTGAAGTCCACTATCAGCTCCTTTGTCTTACTGACGTTTAGAAGGAGGTTGTTCCTCTGGCACCAGTTCTCCAGATTCCTAATCTCCTTCAGGTAGGCCGTCTCGTTGTTATCAGACATCAGGCCCACCACGACGGTGTCGTCAGCAAACTTGATGATGGTGGTGGAGCTGGTAGTGGCCACACAGTCATATGTGTACAAAGAGTACAGCAGGGGGCTCAGAACACACCCCTGGGGGGCTCCAGTGCTGAGAGTGGTGGAGGCTGAGACATGTCCGCCCATCCTTACTGCCTGTGGTCTGCCAGTTAGGAAGTTGGAGATCCACTGACACATAGATGAGCTGAGTCCCAGATGCTCCAGCTTGGTGGTGAGTGTGGAGGGAATTATGGTGTTAAATGCAGAGCTGTAGTCTATGAAGAGCATTTTAACATAATTCCCCCTTCTAGTGTCCAAGTGAGTGAGTGATGTGTGGAGGAGATGAGAGATGGCATTGTCTGTGGAACGATTTGGACGGTAAGCGAACTGTAGTGGGTCCAGTGTGTCTGGTAGTGAAGAAATGATGAAGTTTCTGACCAGGCGTTCAAAGCACTTCATCACTACTGAGGTGAGGGCTACAGGGCGATAGTCATTGAGAGAAGCAGGGTGGGGTTTCTTCGGGACAGGAACAATGATGGACTCTTTGAAGCATGTGGGGATCACCGACTGAGATAAAGAGATGTTGAATATCTCAGTGAACACAGGAGCTAGCTGGTATGCGCAGTCTCTTAGGATACGACCTGGGATGCCGTCTGGTCCTGCTGCTTTCCTGGTGTTCACTCTTTTGAAGGCTCTCCTTACTTCATGCTCGGAGATGACGAGCACGTTTCCGGTGCTGGCAGTATCTTCCTGTCTGCAGCCGTTAGCGCCGCCAACACTAGCATTGTTGGAGACCTTAGCTGCAGCCTCGAAGCGAGCATAGAAAGTGTTCAGCTCGTCTGCCAGAGTCACGGCCGCGTTCGTCATACCGGTTGTTGGTGCTTTATAGTCTGTTATTGTCCTTAGTCCCCGCCACAGGCTCCTAGAGTCACTCTGTTGGAGTTGTGACTCTAGTTTCCTCCCGTAGCGCTGCTTCGCCTCTTTCACCGCCCTCCGCACGTTATATGACGCGGCTTTGTACGGGTCCATGTCCCCCGTTGTGAGTCCCGTGTTGTAGGCAGCGGTGCGGGATCTCAGAGCGTTGCGGATGGTTTTATCCACCCACGGCTTCTGGTTGGGAAACGCTGTGATAGTCTTTGTCTCCACGGTATCATCCGCTAGTTTCCCGATGAATCCCACAACCGCTTCCGTAAACACGTTGACGTCATCGTCGGAGCTGTTTCTGAACATGCCCCAGTCTGCGTCATCGAGTGCGTCCTGTAACGCGGCCACCGATTGATCCGTCCAGCGCGCGACCTTCCTCTGAACCGGAACTTCCTGTTTCAGCCTTTGTTTATATTTTGGCATGAGGAAGATGGCGGCGTGATCAGATTTGCCAAACGGAGGGCGGGATTGTGCCTTGTAGCCGTCCTTGACCGTAGTGTAGCAGTGGTCCAGTGTCCTTTCACCCCTGGTGGGGCAGGTGATGTGTTGATAAAAGTTCGGCGCTGCGCGTTTGAGGTTGGCGCTATTAAAGTCCCCCGTCACAATAAGCGCAGCGTCCCGGTGTTGTGTCTGGTGCTGTGTGAGTGCCTCATGCAGCTCGCATAAGGCGGTGACCGTGTCCGCTTGTGGTGGAATATAAACGGCACTTACAATGACCGATGTAAATTCCCGAGGTAGATAAAAAGGTAGATAATTTTGGTGTGCTTCTCTTGGGCAGGTCATCTGAGCTTGTTTTGTGGATAGTTCTGTTTGTTTATGTGCTTGGTCTTAGCTCACCTTCATGATATTTTTATACTCAGACATAACAGTTTTTTGTCAGCCAAAGAAAGAGGTCTGCACTTAGTTGTTTTCTGTGGTCTTTCGGGTCTTTTAGTGCTGCTGAGCTGGCCGGTGCAGTACTTCTTTTAAAAATGTAACACATTTTTGATTTGGCCATTCCTACATTCTGCTGTCTCTCAGATAGGTTTATTTTGTTTTTTCAGCATAGCGCTGGCCTTGTTCACTTGCACTGACACTTGTCAGTCTTTGAGCATTCCAGTGAACAGCTACCAAATGCAAGTTCAGCACTTGGAATAAACTCCGGGTCTATTATCTGCTAATCTGTCATGGAATATTGAGGGAGCAGGTCTCAGTTGGCCATGAAACTGTTTTTCCAACCTCTATGGAGGTTTTCTCCTGTTAAAACCAAGTTTTTCCTTCCCACTTTTGCCAAATGCTTGCTCATAGGGAGTCATCTGACTGTTGGGATTTTCTCTGTAACATTGTAGGGACTTTACCTTATAATATAAAACACATCAAGATGACTGTTGTTGTGATTTGGCACAATACCAATAAAATGGAATTGATTTGAACTGAAAATTTCTGAATACAAAGTATGGAATGATGATTAATGATGATCAAATATGTGCCAGATCTTGAAAACGAAAGAGTGGTTGCACATTATCAACAAGTATGTCAGCCCGTGACTTACGATCCATCCGCCTCCATCAGTGCTCATGTCACAGTAGACTTGCAGGGGTTGGTTCTCATCTCCACCCAGGTAGATGGTGTGCATGCCTGATGAGGTGTCTCCATTCAGTAGGGCCTGGGAGCAATCCCTGGGGTGTCGGTACAACACGCCAGCTACACAGACACACACACAAAATAATGATTAAGGGGAAAAGATGCTATATAAATAAATAGGATTTTTCCATTCCAGAATTTCCTGTTTGCAAAGCCAGGATGCTGCAGAGAGGTTCTTTATACTCTTGTGTTTTCTTGAATTTAACATTTTCAGCCAGCAGCCTCAGTTCAGCAAGTAGTCTTGCTTCACAGTTCATCTAGTTTCAACCTCATTTAAAAACTACACTGTAAAAAAAAAGTAATATAAAAGTATTTTACTGTGTATTTTACAGTTTTGTACTGTTTTTCTGGAATATCATTAAATTTACATAAATAGACTGTGATTTTTAATTTAAAATGTAAATTAACATAAAATCTGTCAGTCTGCCCCAGGGCAGCTGTGGCTACAACTGTAGCTTGCCTCCACCAGTGCGTGAATGTGAGAGTGACTGAATAGTGGAATTGTAAAGCGCTTTGAGGGTCTCAAAAAGTGCTATATAAATGCAATCCATTATTATTATTTAAACCAACTGTTAACTGTATATTTCTGTACATCCATCCATCCATCCATTCGCTTCCGCTTATCCTTTTCAGGGTCGCGGGGGGCGCTGGAGCCTATCCCAGCTGTCATAGGGCGAGAGGCGGGGTACACCCTGGACAGGTCGCCAGTCTGTCGCAGGGCTAACACACAGGGACAGACAACCATTCACACTCACATTCACACCTAGTGACAATTTAGATTAATCAATTAACCTATCCCCACAAGCTGCATGTCTTTGGACGGTGGGAGGAAGCTGGAGTACCCGGAGAGAACCCACGCAAACACGGGGAGAACATGCAAACTCCACACAGAAAGACCCCGGCCTGATGGAGGAATTGAACTCAGGACCTTCTTGCTGTGCGGCAACAGTGCTAACCACCGTGCCACCGTGCTGCCCTTATTTCTGTACATATAAGTATTATTATTCATATTACCGCATTCATTGATCTTGTTTATAGGTAATTTCATTGTTTAATCACTTTAAAATGTTCCTAATTTAATGTTTAAAAGCACTTGAAAAAGGCAAAATCCCATGTAAAATTAGGGTAACAAACTGTATTGTCATTAATGAAAATAACCGTATTTTTATGAGAAAGTTATTTTCTGTTATTTTCTGGTATTATTTTGGCGCCCCAGCTGCCAGAATATTACTGGGGGTTTTTTGGAATTTTTTTTTACAGTGTAACACTAACCATCTTATTTTTTTATTGTTTCCTGAATAATGTGTGGAAATCATACAAATTGTGAAAACATTCACATTTAATCAACCATCAGATTACAGAACTGAAAAATTGCGTTTGGGTTTTCACACTGAGCCAGTCGATGTCATTACAAACACTGCTGCTGTAACTTCAGACAGGTTAGCATTGCTCAATGGCTTATATTTAAACCATGTGACCACACGGTTTAAATAATCTGTCAGTAGGAAATCCGTAAAACTGATGAAGATGATGACCTCTGGCTGTGTGAAATGAAGAGTTCAGAAACAGATTGTAATTCCTTTAAGTCATCCTTTGGACCATGTTTGACCCTTTCCTGGAATTTATTTTTAAACACAGGCCATATAATTGACAGCCCTGATTTAGCAGCTTAATTCAGTATCTCTAAAACTGAATGTAAAAAGGCTATATATTCTATTTGTCCTTGCATTACTGATAACACTATAAATAGACATCACAGTGACTTGAAACCTTTCTAGTGTGTGCAGGAGTCTACTCACTGGTGGTGAAGATAGTAGTGATCACTCTGCTTCTCTTTGGCCCAGCGAGGGCCTGCAGGCTGACTGTATATTCGGTGGATGCTTTGAGCTGAGCCATGTTGTATGACACCGCAGTCGGACTCAGCACCACCTCCTGAAGGATGAAACAAACATTCCTGAACATGTTCCACATACTCAACATACAGTTGGATCGGCATTGGCCTTCGGAGAGCAGTATAAGTTGTGTACTGACCCGGATGGTGCGGTCTGCAGATTCAAAGCTGAGCATGTAGCCGGTGATGTCAGCACGAGGAGGCTTCCACGTCAGCATGGCGTTCTCTGTCTGGATGTTACTGGCTGCCAAGTCCTGGGGGGCATCCACATCTGAAGGAATCCAAACTTTGTTTACATTTGTTTACAGATTTCTACATAACTTCACAACAGTCATGAAGCCTTATTTGTAGTGCCTGCAAGCTAGAGCACAGCAGCACTAGTCGGTTCTTATGATGTTGCTCTCTCAGATTTTGACATACATACAGTTACAGTTATAATGAAGAAATCTGACAGACTGCTTGATTTCTACTAGCTTTTCCCATTTGTATTAGTTTAACTAATCATTTAAAACACCAGGGAAACAACACCTGTGATAAACTCTGTTGTAGTGGCTGCACTCTTGGCCAAGTCCCGCACAGCATAGACCTTCACAGTGTAGTGTGTGGCTGGTGCCAGAGAGTTCATCTCAAACTCCACCACGTTTCCTGACACACGTTCCATGACTGGAGCCACTGAGAAACACAAAGTACAGAAACCAAATCAAACTTGAAGGACAAACACCAGCAGAGGAAGTATTCAGCCTTTATCTGTCAACTTGAACATTAACATCATGATGAATAAATACTCCACTGAATTCACTTTAGTTCACTTAAAGTTGTTATGTACACTCTTTAAATGTACTTTAATGATATCTGTCTGAACCAAGACACAAGAACCAAACCTTCACAGTAAATCTCAAAATATTCATGCTTATAATTATGAGCGTTACAGAAATAGAATACTTGCATACAACATCTTTAAACTGGTTTCTTTTTATAAAGTCATTACTACTAGAAATAATAATAAGGCAGCAAACTTTCTTATGACTTATGTGTCACATGTTACTTTTTTAATATGCCAACTCAGTATTGGTACATTGATCATGTTGCTTTAGTATGAAAATTTGAACTGTCTTTTGTTTGAACATTTCTTTTGTTCTTGTCTGTGCTAAGTTGTACACACATAAGTACTTACCTAAATCTGCACTATAGGTGATGACATAGCCGTCCACTGTAGCGATGGCGGGCTGCCAGAGCAGCAGAGCCTCACTGTCCGTGATGTTGACTGCGTTCAGACCACGTGGTTTATCCAGAGCTGTAACACACAGTCACACACATACCATCTAAATTAAGAGTGTGAGCTGACTAAATTGGCAAACAAAACCAGTTAGAGAAAACTACACTAACATATATTATTAGTTATTTATTCACCTTTCAGTCACTTTAATTTTAAAACTGTGTAATTGTAAAACTGTATATACTGTATATTCTATGTATTTATTATTTCACTCTTATTGCCTGTTCTTATTGTCCTTATCTTCAACGTTATGCTGCTCTGTTGTTTGTTTGTTAATTGCCCCTTGGGGATAAATAAAGTCTTCTGATTCTGATATATCTACAATCTTAGTAGATTGTAGATATATAGATATATGTTAGATATATACATTAGTGTAATAGTAGCCAAAAGCAACTCATTTGTTAACTAAGTTTGTTAGTATTCTAGTTCATCATGATACAAAGTCCTAATTAGAGGACTTTGTATCCTGTTAATTACATTCTCTCTCCATTATATTTTAAGTGTTTTATGAAACAGAAAAAATATATATATTTTGGATGAGTCTGACCAACTGAACAGATTAATTATAGGAAACTTGTACTCGCTCTTAGCAAAATGAGAGTAAAACTCCAGGAGACAGCTTTTGTCACTGCATGTGTTGAGATGTTTCTGGATGTGTGCTCCTATTTAATAGCTTTTAATAGCACTATAGGTAATGACATACATGTATCTGATCACATAATGTGCTCTTAATAGCTTGCCAGTTGTTGTGGTACTACACTAGCATTAGTGGTATTACACAAAGGTACAGTTACACCTAAGTTATTTTTTACTTGCTATCGCTTCAACACAATACATGGTTTAGACATAGGATCATCACAATTGTTTCTTCACATTCCATTTAATGCTTTGGATAATTTCAGAAGGCTTGAACCTTTTACACACAAGAATCTACATATAGTTTCTTTAAAGCAAACAGTGGCTTAATTAGCGTAGCTTTGGCTTAGGCTAAAATTAACCTTAACTAGCCAGAGTTTTTAACTGTCTCTCTTTGTCTTAACACCGCAAATTTGTAAGGTACAAAGCCACACTACAACATCATATCATAGTTATAATATAGTGTCTAATACTGTTGTGGCCAACAAATCTGTTCTTCGCATTACGAATGTGTGTGTGTGTGTGTATTTTACCTGTGGTGACGCTGTCAGATCCAGGTTCACTCTCCCTCTGCCCCTTGATAGCAATCACAGTGACCTTGTAAGTGACTCCGGGTGTCAGGTTAGGCAGCACAATCTGAGATGAAGAACCATCCACTGACAGTGTCTTGGCGTTACCTGGGAATTTTGATAACTTACATCATTTTCAATGAATGAACAAACACTTAGCTGAAGTAGTGAAGTACTTGTTTTTCATCGGAGAAGAATCTTCATTCATCCCTTCTTGTTCTTAGTCATGCGGATTTCCCCACTGATGAATGATTTAACCACTTCTGTCATACCCATAATCCATACACATGCAGTTGGCCATCAGTTAACGTGTTACTTTTCCAAGTCATTTAGCAGCTCTGTCTCTATATTGCATTTCACCATCACTTCAAGTCTAACAAGTAAACATTTGCCAGATAACACTCTTATTAGTTTGCAGATAATTTTCTTTCTTTTCATTGCTGGACTTTCCACCTGTCTGGGCTGTACACTTCCTCTTCCACAGCATGTCTGTTATCCTGTCTCCCTTCTCTCTCCAACCAGTCGCAGCAGATGGCCTCGCCCCTCCCTGAGCCTGGTTCTGCTGGAGGTTTCTTCCTTTTAAAAGGGAGTTTTTCCTTCCCACTGTCGCCAAAGTGCTTGCTCATGGGGGGTGGGGGGGGGGGGGGGGGGGGGGGGTCATGTGATTATTGGGTTTTTCTCTGTATGTAATATTGTAGGGTCTATCTTACAATATAAAGTGCCTTGTGATTTGGTGCTGTATAAATAAAACTGAATTGAACTGACATTAAGTTAAGCAGATAAAATACTAGTAGGTGGATGGATTTTATATTTGATTTTATTTTTATTAAACCTTGCCTATATGTCTATATGTCTTTGTATTTTCCTACTATTTATTCTACCTTGTTAAAGTTAGTGATGAACAAAAGCCCTTTTTTACAGATACAGTTTTTTGTGGGAATTTTTCTAGGTGCTGAAAATATTTGAGTCTTGATCACTTATTCAGTTTTGAATTGTACATGCATCGTGATGTAACTAATTTGTTAATAATTTATTCTTTGTCACAAAATATACAGGACTCTATTGTGATAGGATGGTCAATTTTCTTGATTTTCAGTAGACACACTTATCAGTAGCCAACAGAGGGCAGCATCTGTCTATGTCTGGACAAAAGAGTTACAACATAAACTGATGAATGGACGAGCAATTTAAAAGCAGTGAGAATGTCCATGCTGGTTATAGTCATCCAAATCTAGGCTTGTTTCATACTGCTGTGCCAGATATTAAAATCTGTTTTTCCTAATGCAATCATGGATGCAGTTGATGGTTAGAGATCTCCTGTGTGCGACTTTTGGAGGATCTTAAGAACAGCATGTCTAAATGTTCCCTGTCCCACCGCACTCATAAAAATACTGACCTCCATAGACAGGTACGTAAGTGACCCGGTAGCTGTCCACTCGAGCTCTTGGGGTCACCCAGTGAACAGTTGCAGACGTGTCAGTGACATCGGAGAAGCGAATGCCCTTGGGTGAACCCAGGTCTGGCAAAGGGAAGACAGAAACAGCAGATGGGGACAAAGACAAAAACAGAAGCATCAGTCAGTATGTGTACTGCCTTTTTTAGAATTCTAAGAAAGCACTGTATAGAAGCAAATATCAATCAGTGAACAGTTTTGACATGTTCTAGTGAGGATTTCCTCCAACAGAGTGAAGAAACAGACACGAAAAAACACACAGACACTGTAGCAGGGCAGATCCACCACTGAAAGGCACTCATTTTAGAGCAGAGCGAAAGCAGGAAAGCATAAAAGAGAGTGAAGTCCAGAGACAAAGGGGGCCTGCGGAGGCCCGGGCTCACACAGACAGAACTGTTCCCAGTTAAAAGTGAGCTGCGGTATCTTGCGTGACAGACCTGAAGAGATTAACTTGCTCGCATTTCATGGTAACACAAAAGTGAAGCATGCGCCACGCAACCCAAGACTAAATCCTTTACCTCAGGGGGGATGATGGAGGACACAGGCAGCAGTTTTATATGACATGGACAACCACCACCTTCTTTACATAGAGACACCGGCACATGAGGTCAAGATATCAAAGACAACCTTTGGCAGGGGCATTCAGACAAGAATTAATAAAAGACCACATCAACACAACGAAAAAAGAGTAAAGCGCTAAGTACGTGTCCTGAGTGCGGCTCGACTGAAAATATGCAGTTTGAATGGCCTTCTCTGATACTTCAGATTGATGTACTTATGTGCACACATGCACACTTCTTTATACCGGATCATTTACTAACAGGCCTTAATACCACTTTGGGAATAGTGAAATCTCCTTTACCCTCTTAACATTCAGAGTAGGGTTAGGATTAGGTTCAAATCTACACCTCTACACGAATGTCTCATCTATATGGCATATACAAGTGATTTTGGATTTTTGACTTGCTTTTTAAGCTTGTGACTCAAATGTGAAGCAAATCTAACCCTATCCTTAGTGGTTAACTGGTGTACTGGTGGATGCCATGAGGTTAAAACTACAATAATACTATAATTTAATGCATCCTAAGTGTTACTGCTTCATCTCAACCATACCAAGTACTTTTAATATTGGGCTGATCTCAGTAAAACCCACGTGAAAGTCAGATTCTTATCCAGCATCAGCCTTGAAAACAGCACTGCCTAATCTACCTGGTTGTTCATCTGCATCTCAGGAGTACTGTCAGACATAAAAGAACCCAAATGTCTGTTGGAAAAATACTGTAATGCTTTGGTACCAGGTTAGTAGACAAAAAGATGTACTTTATAAAGGACGAAAGTTAGAGCACAGCTACTACTCATGCTGTTACCACCAAAGACAGGATATGACACCATTCCACATTGACTACGCGGACAAGACGTATCCAGAGTTCCAGTTCACAGCTTGGGCCTCTCGTTCCATCTTTTCACTGTGTACCTGTTTTTAACACCTCCAAGAGAGACTTGGAGCGTCTTCCCAAAATGAGGCCAAAGATTTCAGCTTTGTACTCGGTATCCTCATTGAGATCTGTCATCACCGCACTTCTCTCCTCACCACCTAGCACCAGCTCTCTTGGTTGGTCTAAGCCTTTGGCCTGGCTGACCATTATGACAAAGGTGTCAAAGGAGTCCTCTTCGGCCATCCAGGACAGCTGAAAGCTGTCTGTGGTGACGTCGGAGACTAGGAGAGACTGCACCTCCGGTTCGTACTCTGAGTGACAGGGGTGATAGTCAGTTTGGCTCTCTGTGGAGTACTTTAAGATTTGAAGAAGATGGCAAACAAAAAAGGCGTATAACATGTTGACTTTGCAGAGTGGAAAGAGAAGAGTTTTAGTACAACAACATGAAAGAAACAAAATTCAAAGTGGAGTCTTTAGGGCTTATGTGACTGATCTGTTACATTTAATGGCAGTATTAATAAAATCAAGAAAAAACTGAGTCAAAACTGTGATCAGGAATAATTTATCAAGTCTGAGAAAAGTATAGATTACATATAGCTTTTATGGCCTTTAAAATACTGCATTTCCTCAGATGCGGAATTGAGGATAACTCCAAAATGAAGTAAATCTTAATCAGTGTAATTTTCATCATAGAGAGATGAGATCCAATCAGAACAAAATAAATTGTGTAGAAAGCCACGAATGATATAATCTGAAGTAATCTCCTTGTACAGTAATGTTCGATGTACCTCTATAATCCTTCTCTGCACACTGGTACAACTCTTCAATTTTTCTGGAAAGGGTACAAGTTCCTGTTCCTCATGAAAATGTGACAAAATATCAACACTTGGGAGGAACAGAAAATTAAACATAAGGGCACATTTTACATTTGATGTAAGGAAATCCTATGATATTTAGCTGACTAAAACTAAAAGAATTCAGATGGCGAAAACCAAATCAAAATTTGCTGTCAAAATTAAAAATGATCTCAATAAATGTTGAAAAGTCCAACTTTACAGCAAAAATAAAAATCTCTATAGCCTAGTAAAAGCAACAATTTTGGTCCCATTTCAGATTTATGTTTCCAATACTATGAATTTCGAAGCAAAGGAAATAACTCAAAATAGCAGTGAAATCCTGAAAGTAGATTGAGTTGCAGATGTGCATACAGATGGGGTTGTGTGAATGTGAACTTGTAAAAGCCAAGTCAAGCAGTCATTAGCAGCTTCTAATAATGACAGTGATAGGAAGAAAGGCTGAGACACAGCAGGAGTCTACAGCTGTGGGAGAAAAAGCTCTGTTTCTCCTGAGGATGTGTTCGCTGCTGCTAATTAGTCAGAGAAACTTCCGGTAGCCATGCAGATGGATACACGGACTGGACAGAGCTTTTAAAGCAGCCTGGATAGAAGTAGATATAAGTGGGCTCAAGAAAGGCTCAGTGAAGCCCAGCGCCACTGCTCATTAAAACACAACACCAAATGTGAGGGTCTCAGGGGTCATTGAACTAGCCTGAAACCCCCTTTTTTTAATGTGAGGGAAAAACCATGAGACATTTGTTGTGAGAAAAAGCGGTGGAAATGAGAAGCAGAGCACACAAATCCCAGGGAGCTGTCACTCTTCATTAGCCGCCAGCCGGCTTCAGCTGGTCAGCGGAAGAGAGAAGAGAGCTACATCCATCAGCTAACATGTGTTAGCTTGCTACTGATTTCCCCCTCTCACAACCGCCTCCACCTTCTCTACACTTCCACCCCCTCTCAAGACCTGAGGGAACAAAAAGGAGCCTGTTAGTGGATGAGGTACACACCGGCGCCAGCTAACCTGCTAAGGGGGTCTGCAAGCTGAACCCCAGGGCTGGTCCCAGTCTCGCCTGATAATAGCTTGTACGGATACGATTCTGAACTGAGCTTTCTCTGGGTGCTCTCAGTGGTTCCAGTCATTCATTGTATAAAACACCCTCTCTGTTAATCAAAGTTTCCTCACTCCATCCTCAGCGACAACTTTATTTTTCCTGCAGTGTCCTTCTTCAGCAGACCAACGACGGCCACCGTGCATAACATAATTAGTCAGCGCTTGTATTCACAAGTCGGAATGTTTTATGGATTAAGTGATGCTAATGAAAAATGTTAAGATGGTTTTGCCACACCATTAGCATGCAGACAATGGGCCGTGTTGAGCGCATGCCATATTCTGCGTGGCCCCAGAAGCCCCTGGCACCCCAGCACCAGAGCCCAGGGGCAACGGCAGCATGAGAATGAAGTGCAGTCCAGGCTTGAGGGAACTGGGGATGCATACAGAAGAGAGGCCTCACACAAAGTGACAAAAGAGCCTGAGGGTTTTTTCCTCTCTCCATCAGTCCTACCATCTTTCTTCCACATGAATGATCCTCATCAGTCAAATGCTGAATGATACTGTTGGATACTCAGCTACTTATTTTTTGACTTTTAAGCCTGCACAATATTTCATGTGTTTCACAAAATCTTTATAATGATCTGTGTTTCTGTTACCTGTTTACCTCAGTGTTTTTGAATATTGACAGTGCTGTCATTGTGCACTTACACTTGATCTTTCTTTCATTCCATCCCGTTTTATATTAGAGCACGGTTTTTACTTCCCGGCTTCCCCACCCTCATTAGTGTGTGAGTTCACCTGCTTGTGATTACTGCTCTCTCTCTCTCTCTCTCTCTCTCTAGCCTTTTTCCACAAATTTTCTTTTTAACTAGACTGGTCTTAATTTTTTTAATCTGAGAAAAATGAATACCAAAAGCACTGCTTTTTATAATCGTGAATTAGTATACTCTCAGAAAATAAAACATTTTTTTGACTGACTCTATCTACCGTTTATGCCCCAGAACAGAAGCGACTCCACACCATATCTCATTAGTACCACTGTTTTCAGTATCCTAGTCCTAATTCTACCATAGACCTGCTTAAGATAGTCACAGTCTAAAGGGTCTTTCAGATTCCAGTTGTTATGGTCCTGTAAAGAATTGTGTCATATTTTTTGTATCCCTTATTTAATGTAAAACTACATTCTCCAACATTCTTGGTAGTATATGCTTTCGATGTTTAAAGACCTCTTATTAGACATACTGGGATTTACAGCATGCTAATCACTGATAATGACTGGTGTTGGGGAAGGGGAAACCAGTGCACCTTGACCTTCTCATTTGACGTGTTTCTCCCTGTTCACATACCAGACCAGGTGCTGGTATCAGGTATCAGGCTGGACTCATACCAACAGGCAGACTGACAAGTGGATCAAACGCAGCTCCGCGGCTGGACTAATATAGATTGAATGAGTTTTGTGTGGGCGCTGTAGTGTTAGCCCATTTCACGATCCCTGCATCAAAGGCAGGGATACGCGTGTGATGGATGGCTGATGAAGGAGTGTTGCTTGGGGATTTGGATTGTTCACAGTGTCTGGAAGGCGCAGAGATTTTGTTTACCCTGCAAAGAGTAATCTCCACCGCAAGGGCTGATAAATTGCCTTTATGTATACTTTAAAAAAAAAAAAATGTATTTCCAAACCTGAAGCTAACCAAGAAAATAAGACCCGACTTGTTGCTTTGCAGAAATCCCATGGGCATGAACAAAACAAGCTGTTTTCATACCTAAGTTAAAAGTTTCATTCTCAAAGATTTATAAAAATAAATTCTTTGCAATCTGATACATTTTTGAGCATATCAAGAAAGAGGTCCAAAGGTATAAAAAAAAATGCACAAGAACAAGTGTTTGTATAACACCTATTAGTGATTGCCACACTTCAAGGCAGTGCTGAACAGAGTAATTTAGAAAATTCACAGAGAGAAGGACAGATTACAGGACTGTGTCAATTAGAAAAAGAAGAAATCAGAGGAAAATGCTAGGCCCCAGAATTGACTGCATTGATACCTGTGATGGTTTCTGCAATGACAGGGTCTAATGGGGCTCCCCTGTACACCCCGTATACAATAGCTCTGTACCAGGTGGTGGGGTAGAGGCCGGTGATGGCGAGGCTGCGAGCATCAGCGGGCACAGTGTGATTTTGCCACTCAGCGTCCGTCTCTGCATCAGTTACCGTGATCAGAAAAGACTCAAAAGCCCCATCGTCGGCAAACCAGGACAAGAGGAAGCTGTCCCACGTTACATCGCTGATTGTAACGTTGGTCACCACGGGCTTCTCCTCCTCTGGGTGATGACAAACACATCAACAAAAGGTTAGACCAATTCATATGGCAAAGCCGATGGTCAACTCATTTGCACACTTCTAACTGCTTAATATCCACGAGGTCACCGGTGAACTCTTTAGGGGTAGGGTTAAGCTTGCTTTTCAAGGGCTAGATAATCCCATAAAGAATGATCACTGCCAACCTGGTGGATGTTAAGATGATAGAAAATACATCTGGCTTCATATATTGGTCAAACCTTAAAACACAAACATACAAGTGCTGATCAAAACATTCGAGGAATAGTGCTATGAAAATAAAGAACAGCTGTTTTTTTTAATCTCTCACTGGAAGTCACACAGTTTCTCTGTACTTACTGTATGACCATGCGATCTAACCTGGATTTCCTTCAGTCAGTGATATGCTACTAGGATGTACCAATATGCTGCTTGTAATTTCATTTATTAATGTTTCAAATACTTGTATTTAAAAAATATGTATGCAATTGAGAGCTAGTGCAAACTGGCCCCCAAAAATAATAATAATCAGAGCTGAGGTCATTTGAATTAATTAGACTATATTTTTTAATGAAGATTATTGAAGTGACGATTATTTTTAGGAATGTATCTCCTTTCATGAATGTATCTGATTATGTGTATTATTTGTAATTCGTTGTCATTATGTATCTATATTGTATTTTAGTTTTATGTGGTTGAATATTAGAATATTTTATTTGTGTATGGTGGATGTGAAAAACCCAACAAGGGACACGAGTTGGAAATCAACCTCTTTGTGCAAATTACCAGTGTCACGCTTTGTACTCCTTAAGATGAATTATTCCTATCAAATAAATAGAGATCTGTAAATTTTTTTGTGGGTATGCCAATTTCTGGAAGTTTTTGATCACACGATGGACACACATTTTGAAATTTTTTTAGGTTCTTTTGGAACATTTTCTGTTGACAAAAACTCACAACAATGTAGATGTGAAACATATAACAACCAACAAAGAACTATATAATCACATGTAGGGGGAAAGACAATTCTCCAGCACTCAGTAATTTCATTTCACCGTCAGGAGAAAGGAGAAAAGGTCCAGAATGGAAATATTCTCATATTTCCACTACAAAAGACCAGAGAGAACAAATAGCCCCATTATCATTGTCTACCTATAGCCATCTACTCTATATTACCATATCAGTGGAAGACATAAAGATAGAGAGCAGTTGGCAGATATGCTGATGCAGCTTGTGCGCATTAATGGCTGTGAATGAGCCATTAACATTTGAAGGTGCAGCGGAGCCCGGCCAGTGCGGCAGAAGTACGCTGTCCACTTCAAACCTACGGGGAGGCCATGCAGAGCCATGAACAGCCTGTAATTGTAGTCCATTGTGTGTGCAAGCATTCACAGAGTAGATTAGAAAGAGATGGAGATAGATGGCTCAGGTAAACATCAAGGCTCCCATTATCCTCTTTCACTGTGCGGCACAACAGAGAGTAAATGGGATGGTAGACAATAGGAATGTAAGGTGGGGGTTGGTTGGAATCAGCTGATCATTGATTACCGAAAGCTCAGACTGACAAGGAAAATGCATGACCATTTTCTGTGCCTACAGTATAAAGAGAGATTGAGTCTTTTGTTTTTTGGAAATACCCTAATCTTTTCTTTAATTTTCCTTATATAGCAATCATATGAATTACATCAAAGCATGTAATCGACATGCTGGTCCACCATGTCCATTTCACGCTTTGCCTCTCTAAAGCATGAAATGGACATATAAATATGTACATATTTTGTTGTGATACTGGATTGAGCAATGAAAAGCAGAGAGTGATTTAAGTGATTTCTAACATACATCTATAATTGTCAATCAATTTTCCTGTAGACTCCTGGTGAAGCATAGGGCCGCACATCTATAATTGTAAGTAGATATAATTTTGGAATTTGTCGACTCTGTTAAATAATAGATGATAAATATATAGAAAAACAAAACCATACACTGTAAATCAGTAAAACCCTTGGAAATATCCCTATGACCACATAAGCTTCGGTTGCATTGCGGTGCTATATAAACCATTACAGAAATGCTTGTGTATTGCTTTTGAATGTGAAAGCAGAGGAGTTAATGAAGGAAAACCAAGAAGTGAACATTAGCTTTTCACTTAGTCACAATTCATCTGAGGTTAAAAAGAAAGAAAAAAGCTTAACTGGCCCTCACCATGGACTTTATATAAAAGATGGACATACCTTCAAGGTCTAATAATAAAATGCAAGGTACTAAAATCCAGCCCCCTACCTAACAATTATTAAATACAACATGATGCCTATTTTGTCAATTGTGGTACAAACCAGAAGAAACTTGAAGGCAGGGTTTTCTTTAGGCCTCACCTGCCATGTGATTTTCTAGGTGTGCTGCATGCACTCTCCATGGAAAGTCCCAGTCAGATCTGTCCCTTGCTTGTGATGTCAGGTTTAAAAAAAAAGCTATGATGTCAAAGGCCAAAACTGTCAGGCCAAATCTTCAAAAACAGGACCTTACAAACCAACAGGTAACATCACTGTGGCTGCATCCATCTTTTATAAATTTCATGGCTGTCTTAATGTTAGTTAATGTGTTAAAATGTCATAGCAGTTAGTCGATTAGTTTAGCTGTGTCTGGCACATGGATTCCTTGGTGTTGATAAAAGGACCAAAAGTCTGTATTTAGATGGAGACACCATGGTTTCACAAAAGCTAACACCAGATACTCACCAAACACACGTTTAACTCTTCATAGGGCCCAAACCTTTAAATGCCAGGCAAGTAGCATATAAAGGTCCTGTTCAGTGATTCAGCCCAGGCTCACCGATATTTCTCTTCGCCCAGGCTCTAAAGTTGATCTCTAATCTTATTAGTTAGCCTAACTAACTATATATTTACTATAGTTAGCTAAAAATAAATTTCTTTTTAGCTAGCTTCTAAACTTAAACGTACGCTTTGTCTTTAACAGGGCAAAAAAATACTATTTAACTTAAAACAAACAGAAGGGGAAAAAAACTTTCCCATTAACTCAGTGAGATCTAGCCGCGATTTCAATATTTGGTTTAGCAAAGCGTGACTCTAAGATTTTAGTGTTTGTGCTGCTTTAAATTGAGATGAATGAAATTTCAATTTTCAACATATAAAACAAGCCTTTACAAAAATCTCTTTTAAGCTTGTTTGTCTTGTTTTGCATTTTATGTTTCTTCCCTACATAAGAATGTAGCAATGGCCACAGCAAGTCCTACAGAGATGCTGTTATAGCACTTCTACTCTATATGTATTAAATCTTAAAGGTCTAGTTAAAGTCTACTATAGAGGTGATGGGAATGTCTTTTTTTTCTCTTGAATTTGAGAGAACCCTTAAAATCTGCTCATGCGGTTGAAGATGTGTGCAATGACATTATCAAATGGTCCCCTAAGATATCACCTTCTTATATGGATATCTTCCATTTGATACTCATTCATCCTCAGTGTGTTAATTTAAAGAATGATAGTTGAACTTCTCCACCAGGCAGTGTCCAGACCTTACAGATCATGTCAATGCATGCAGGACATTGATCTTGCTTTATTCACAATGTTTTGCTTTCTCTTTCTGTTCTATTATGTTAGGTTGTTAATGCACCATGAATCAAATTTGATGGAAACAGTCACATATAAACTGACTTCTTGGCAGAATTTGCAGCAACTGCCAAAATCCAAATATGTCAACACTTTGTAAAAGGCTTTCAGGACAGCTGATTATAGGGTAACTCTGTGGGTTTAGTTTTCCTTTGTGCAAATATGCGCATATTCACGGAAGTCAGATATTGTGATCCAAACTCAGTCAGCTGATTAGTTTAAATTATGATAATCCTTGCCTGTGGCACCTGATTTCCCTATTTTTGTTTTTTTTATTGCATAGTATCTAAATTTTATATCCTGCTTCTAAAATTATTTGGATTTTGAAAGGTGCATTTTGGTTTGCCACTATTTCCCTGCACACTTATCTGAAAGACTTGACATCAAATTCTTGATACTTTTTGATGACTGTAAGGTTCCCAGACTCCTCACTCCACCCCTCCTCTTTCCTTGAGCCCCTCCTGCAACAAGAGCATGATCTGTGTTTGCACTACGTGTTTGGATACGATAAAGGCTAAAGTATCAACCAGGCTGTGGATTAGAGGGCTGCTGATTTCAGAGACAATGTTTTAACAGAAGTCTCAGCATGTGGCCTTTTATCTGACAGACCCACAGTTCATCGTGGTCAAATCGCACAAACCCAGAGGGGAGCGGGGCTCACGCCAACAATTATCACATGAATGAACATTGTGCATGGCGCACACATATCCATACAACCACCCCCCAACCCCACCCCAAGCCTCATGAACCTACCAATACACAACGCACATACTCCGGGGTTCACTCATATGTACTATTCATGACCACACAAACAAGTGAACATAAAGAGCACGGTGCAGCAGCCAATAACATATCAAAAAATATTTATTCCAATGGCTCACCTTTTCCCTCAAAGGTTATCAATTTTTGCCTGTTACTATGCATTTAATGAGCACTTGTTACATAACCAGAAGGTTTAACAGTGAAATATTTGCCTTGGAGGCTCTCAGACCACAGCATGAAAAATTTGCCACCATCACCTTATTTGCCTTTTCATCCAAGGAAAACTTGGAAAATAGAAAAAATAAACCCACAGTCTATCAATGGGGGAATGAGGAGTTTAAAACACTGAACTGAGAAGCAAACAATGGGTTCAATTCATTGCGTCAGTGTGGCTGCTGTAACGAATAATGAAATGTAAATAAACCTCTGGTCAATAAGAACTTCAGTGAGTCTGTCATGCATCGCCAGCTGAAACCAGGCAATAGAATTATGCAGACCAAGTCTCAGCTTAAGCTAAGAGCTGACTTAGTTCTAGTGGTATGCAGGTTCATTTTGTTTTTACCTGCTCAGATTTTAAGCTATTTTTGTGCGGTATTACATTATAAGCAATGTTGTGGAAGTGCTTTGGCCAAAACTAACCGCAGGGTTCACAAGTGCTAACAATTTGGAGACAGAGTATAATAAATGTGGAGTGGATGGTGGCAATGCTAATATAGGTTACATATCATTTCTTATCTGGGTATCTGAAAATGTTAAATGTTATCTCATTGGCAAAAATGCCAGCAGAAAAGCTATCAAGATTGCTCGGCTTCCTCTCTCGACGCTTTTTTCTTTTTTCTTTTTTCTTTTCTCTTTTCTTTCTACGTTTTTTTCTGCCAGACAATTCAGAAAACCTATAATGTCAAACAAACCACTCCTGCTTCACTAGAAACTTCTCTTTTCACATGTGTTCAGCCGTGCTGACCTGTGGGTGCTGAGATGGTGGCAGGTACGCTGCTTCTGCGGCCCCTCTCTGCACTGATGTTGATGGTATACAGCATACCGGGTGTCAGGCCCCTCAGGGTGTGAGTTTCAGAGCTGCCCGGGATCACTTCTTCAGCCCTGTGACCATCAGCGGAAATGTAAACCAGCCTGTAGGAGTCCAGTTTGGCAAAGGGACGCCTCCACTCCAGCATCATAGTAGTCTCTGTCATCTCTGTTACAGTCAGGTCTTTGGGAGCATCGAGGGCTGATGGTGTGTGAAAGAGGGGAGGTATTACACTGAAGGCCTTTTTTCAACAGTTGCATTTTCCTGTTTAGATTTGTTTTGCTGCCTTACTGATGCTTACTGACGTCCACTACTATACTAGTTAATAAAACATCATTTGATGGCATGCCAAAGCAATATGTTATCGTGGTTAGATCTGATTTGAAAGAACTGATCAGAGCAGTGAAACAAGAGGGCAGAATTATCGAGAGGTAATAGATTCTGAAGGAATAAAGCTTGGTGCACAATTATAGTCAAGAAACACTGATTATTTAGTCTCCAAACTATTGTTATACTATAGGATACCCATCAGAAAAGTTGTAAGACTATCTATCCATTATAACATTAACTGCTAACTGTCGCATTCAGAAAAAAAGAAATTTATAGATATTCCAGCATGAGGCCACAAAATTCTAGGAAGACAAATGATTTAACTTCTCGATTAGTGCTAATAAGATATATTAGTAAATGTAACAGCTATAGACCAACTTAGGCCCAGTGGGCCATCTGGCTTTAAAACCTGTTCTAATATTCTGTCTATAGGATCAAATAAATAGCAAATGAATGTCAATCAATTTGAAAAATCTGTTGAAAATTCAGCAATTCTAAAGACTTTAAAAATGGACGCACCTCCTGTCTACATTAGCATGCATAAGAAAAGGTGACTGTCTCATAACGATATGGCAGATTTTACAATAAAGCAGACGATTCAGCCGTGAGGGAATAAAGCCAAAAACATTCATATGAATATTGAGGAGTGGTGGGTGCCACCCTGACTTCTCTCACTACTGTAAACTTCGAACCAAAACTTGAGCCTTGTCCAAAAAATGAATGTTTCTTTTTAAATATCAATTTGTAGAATTAGCATATAAATTCTATCAGTGTAGCAGGAATCACAAAAGGATATCTTGTCTCTGAAAAAAAAAACCCGTTACATATAGAACATGATTATTAAAAACAGTGTGTCAGTGTCAGCATCTCACCGGTCACAGCATTGGCCGTCGTGGGCAGACTCTCCCTCTCATCTTTCACTGCCGTCACACCCATCCCATACTCCGTGCCGGGTCTCAGGCCTACAGAACAGGGTAACATTAAAAACACTGATACGGAAATAAAAAGCTATGTCATGTTTTGCGTGTTCACATCCACTGAGGTGTCAACAAATGAACGACGGGGAGCCTCTGTAGTCAAGTGGCCAGCTGTTTCAGCTAATGGCTCCAATGCCTATGGCAAATGCACAAAAAAACACTCTCTTGTGGCTTTATTGCACAATAGATTGCAGCCTAATTGCATTTCATGGTAAGCCTGCACTCGCTGCAGAACATCAGTGTTATATTTGCATTGATGGATCTATAGGGCCCTTGTTGCGGAGCAGAAACACTACTTGCTATGATATAGCAGGCTCCAGAGGCCCTTTAGTCTCTACAATTAAGCCCTCTCTGGGCCTGATCGCCTTTATTAACTCCCACAGAGGTCATCGCACACAGAGCCTTACAGCATGAAATTACACCTAATGCCCAGGAAACTCATTATCAATAAAATCACGAGCGTGAAGGCAATTACAGATAATAAGTGTGTGAAAGAAGTGCTGAGGTGTGTGTGGAGCAGAGGGGGGCGTCAGCTGAAAGGACACAGTGCTTTATTTTCATGAGCCGGGCCTCCCAAGGACAAAGAATGTGGCCAGACAAAGACACTACGAGCTTGTTTTGAGGGTCTTTTTTCTCATGGTTTCTAATCCTACCATGCTGAATGCACAGTGTAGAAACAAACAAACAAACAAACAATAAAAACAAAACTCATCCGCCTCAAAGCATAGCTTTTTAATGTCAGCAATGCAGAGAGATGAAAAACGTGCCTGCTATTCTTGTCTGAGCAAAGTCTCCCAGCGAAACAAGCGGCAATGTTTTCCAATTAATGTCTCAATGCCAAGCCCCTCCTGGGTGATTTTCTAATAAAGTGGGTCTTTTGTAGACAAGCAAACATTTCACAAAACAAAACAAAGAGAACCTGTCTTGGAAAATGAGCAGGCTGAAAATAACTCTAGCCATTTAACACAGAGTCCCACAAACGCTTGTCCCATGAATTTGGAAAATAAACACTTCACACTGTATCATTTAGTTTTCCACAGGGGCCTTTCAGCTGTGCCATTTGGATGCATAATACTAATGAGCCAAGATGATCACAAAGCAGCAAAACAAACCCTGAAAACAGCTGAGTGAAACAACTGGCAAGAAGTAACTACAAAATCCCTGATTAGACAAAACCTTTAGTACAGGTTAACAAAGATTTACTTATTCTCTTGATATAGCAGTTATATAAGATATTAAAGATATCATCTGGGTTAATGTGTTGTGGAAAAGTCCATGATGCCTTCTCCATAACTAAGGAACAATCACTGTAAGTCATGGCTTTGTTAATGGCTCGTTTTCCCTCTTTCAGCATGGTTTAGGAATAAGGATTAGGTTTTGTACTCCAAGTTATACATGTACTTTTAAGAAACTAGAATGAAACTTACAGTGATTTTGATACAGAGTTACAGATTTTGTATTTAACTGTCTTTTTTTTTTTGGCTCTTTCAAATAGGTGAAATTTTTAGAAAAAGGGGTGGACATGAACTTAACCCAAACCCTACTGCTAACCCTAAATGGGTCACTTGTGACCTGGTGAGTATTAAACACTCACAGGTACACCTTGCTATACACAGCTGGCCTTCAGAAGTACCTCAATTCTTCATGGCACCGATTTAACAAAGCGCTGGAAAGATTCTTCAGAGATTTTGGAAAAATACTTTCATGACATCATCACCTAGTTGTTGGCTGCACATCTATGATAAGGAGTTCCCTTTCCGCCACATCCCAGCTCTATTGAAATGACATTTGGTGACAATGGAGCCCGTTTGAGTGAAGTGAACTTATTGTCATGTTCAAGAAACAAGTTTGAGAGGATTTGTGTTATCTTGCTGGCAGCAACCGTGAGAAAATGGGAACTCTATGGTCATAAATGAATAAATAGCTAAAGTCATACAATACTTTCTACTGTAAGACTTAGTCCCTCTGTCACACACACTTTCACAGTACTTTTGTCTTTATCTTTTATCTTTGCACACACTCTCATAGTCCGATGGATGCAAACAGAAGAATAAATGGATATTCAGCATGTTGACTGGAGTAGTTAGGTATCAATCCAATAATCTTCTAACCGATAGAAAACCTGCTCTGTGACGTAAGGCATAGCCACTATTGGTCAGCAACAACACGCAAGTATTTTATGGCTTAATTGGTACTAAGAGATCCAAATTGTGCTAAGAAACCACACATCACCACTAACTTGACCCAGTGATACAATGTGGTATGGATTTGGATATTTTCATACTTAGAGGATGAGTGGTTTATTTGGGTAACTTTTGTCAGCTCAAAGCTGTGCGGGTCATTTTTCTCTGACCCCTGGCATCATCAAGGCATTTCCACCCAGAGGGGCTATGACTCAGTGGCCCACACACCTAAAGATCATTTTGTGGGAAAATCCCAGCAGATCAGCTGTTTCTGAAATACTCAGATCACCCCATCTAGCACCAGCAATCATGTCACATTTAAAGTCTCTTCAGTCATCTTTCTTCCCCATTCAGATGCTCTGTTTCAACTACAGCAGCTAGTTGTGGGCATATGTACATGTGCAACTGCATGTTCCTGCTGAGGTGTATGGAAAAAAGTGCCCACTGAGTATATGATAGCACTAAGGTACTGAGAGCTTTACTATCAACTGAGGTTGATAGTTTCTGAGAAAAATAACCAATTTTAAGTCAAACAAAGGGTATCAAAACTTTGTTAATGGATAACAAAATGATCCTTTATAAGTCATTTTCAGGACAGCTGTATAATCTATCCTTTCAGCTGTAATTAACTACTATATCAAATCTGCAATAATGACTAATAAATCACTATCACTGTGTTATATTATAAACCTTTTACTTTTCTGCAAATGTCATCTACTCAGCTGTCAGGACCTTTCCAAATTCCCTTGTGTTTTTTTTAACTGATGTGTAGGAAGCTTGTCTTTGAATCATGCTTTAACTGAGCATATGACAGCACATTTCCCTGCTGGCCTCTCTTTAGTTGTGAATGTTAAAAAACAGACCTGATATGTTGGGCTTAGATATACACTTGTTGGGAGGCTTGTACTGCAGTTGCGTAATGTTCACATGTCTTTTCCACTCTGTGTGCATAAAGAGGTGTTACATGTAAAACACAGCAGAGAATCCCACACTAAGCTGAAATGAAACAAGTGCATATAAATTAGTTGAATAATATGGTGAACACCAGCTTTCTGCTGGCTTCCACCTCATGTAAGTAGAGTCATTGAGCTGCACCTGAATCACATCCTGTCCTTAATGCACTACCCTTACCGATGCAGTTTGCTAACCAAGCTTGCTAGCACTAGCTGCTAACTTACCACTCAACCTTCCCACCCATATATTGCTACCTTTGGTTCACAATGCCAACATGGTACGGGCAACAACGCTAAAGGCTTGAAAATCCAAGTTGACAAACCAGTGGTCATGCATAAACAGTTTATGGGCATAACGAAACAGGAAGAACAAGGTAGGTAGGCTTATATATAGCTAATCACTATAATTATTCTTTATCCATACCAATAAAATGGTTTATTAATAATTTCCTAACATTTTGCACATTAATTATAAGCAGATAAAAATTTACAGAAATTCCACAAAAATCTGTCATGCTACCATTTTCCAATTAACTGTTCTTTGTTAAGCCTTTATAAGCTACATAGACATCTAATATAATACAGCTAATATAGATTTATTTTTGAACAGCAGTATGTTATTTGGATAGATGTTTGTTTGTGATACAGAACCAGTGATCTTGGCCTGAGTGGAGTCCTTAGGTCCTGGGGGAAACAGCAGCTCTTCGTGCTCTCCACCAGACAGAGGTCCATACTTGATGCGGTAGTTGTCGACCTGAGCACGGCTGTTCTTCCACTCAAGAGTGATGCTCTCGTCTGTCAGCTCTACTGTCTGCAGGTCTCTGGGGGCGTCCAGGTCTACAATGCAGAAATATACTTTAGATAAATGTAACCTTACCCTGACCTAAACGTAAATGGATTTCTCATTTATGAATAAAGGAAAAACAAGAAGTTCCCTTTACACCAAAACCTCAAGTGATTGTTGGGGCTTTCTCACTAATATTTAAAGGTAAAGTGCCTTGAAGACATTTTTGTTGAATTATAGCTTTATTGTATGGTATTTTTTTTTTTTTACAATAGTAGGCACATTATATAGATCCATTAGGCTAGTTGAGCAGAATTCTCTATTCCATGCATTAAGACAAATGATATGTTGTGCACCACATGTACTGTAAGACTTATTAGGAGTAGCAGTGCATTCCACATTCTTGGTCCTGGTTCTCTTGCATATATCGTTAATCTTTTTTGTACAATTTTAGGTTAATGTCAGTACTGGTAGAAGCCACACATATAATTATTTTATCATCATAGTATAAAATAGCAGTAATATATAATGGATAATAGCAGATTTCATGCATTAACTGAGGTCTAAATCATCATCAGCGATAACCCTAATGTGTCAGAATAACAATTTTATGTTCCTTTTTAACATTTATGCATTCCAAAAAAAAGAAAAAAAACTTGCATATCTAGCAGGTAGGGTCATCTTTAAACTTTGAAAGTCTGGACAGGGACCAACATACGATAGATACTGATCATTTTGAAATCAGCCTTTACTGTTTTACTGTTCCCTCAATTCTGCAATGAAATGATTCATCCATGGATGGATCGGCTACAAGAAAGAATCACATTGATATTAGAGTGTTGTATACTGTACAATTCTAATAGTGCAGTGGTAACTTTCATCGGGAACTCAATGGAATTGTGAAAGACAACATTGGAGACTAAGTCAGAGGCATTATTAAGTTTGGAATATCCAATGGTGATACACTGTCACCATTGCTGTTTTGCAAAGGCCTAAGCCTGCTAAGCTATCATATCACATAGAGCAGATACAGATATGGATTCAGGAGTAGAACGGCCATCCGCCACCTCCTGAGCATAGATGACGCAAGCACAAGCTCTAGGCACCAGATGCAGGCAGGAGTCTACCACAGCCAACACAGTCCAAGTTGCAGGCTGTACAAAAGTGCCCCAGAGACTTTCCAGCACATAGTAGCAAGACATAAGATACAAGCTGGGACAGTGTATACATATACTGAGAGGCACAACCAAGTGGCTGGGATAGTGTTCAGAAACATCTGTGTTACATATCGGTTAAAATTTCCCAAGTCCTGTTGTTCTCAGGCAACTGGGATAAGGTCCCATGGGACTTTAAATTCCAGAAAGACATAGTGGTGAGTTGACAAGGGGCAGGAGACTGCAGTTGTGATGAATGTGGGAATCCAAGCAGGGAGCAACATCAGGAAGAAGGAGGATGGAAAAATAAAGAAGTACCAGGGCCTGAGGAAGCAACTGGAGCAGATGTAGAAGGTAAAGTCCAAAGTGATCCCAGTGGTAATAGGAGCATCAGGATCTGTAACCACCAAAACTGGAAGAGTGGCTTCAGCAGCCTGCTGATCTCTTTGGTTATGATGTAAGGAAATGTTCTGGGCAGCACATGCAAATTTAAAAAAAATTAATGCATCATAAAAAACAAGGGATTTCACTTGGAAAAATTGTCAAATCTTTCAGGAGGTGATGTCAGAGAGTGGAAAACACAAAGGAAGTTTTTTTCTGGTAAAGCTGTTAATAATAATTGTTAATGCAATGGGCAGTTGTAATTCTTTAAAACTGTATGCCTACAACAATACGAAGCTCCCTCCATGTTATTTTTGGTAAACATTCTTTCTGACAAAATGAAGAACTGCTGTACTAATTCACGAACAAGAATTATTTTTGTGTTATAGGCGCACACAGAGTATTCAATACTGAAGTCTACCTGGAGGGGGAGGGGCATCAAACCAAATAATGACAGGTGTTACCTGTAAGGAAGGACTCGTAGATGGGAATGCTGGTCCCTTCTCCCCGCCGCGCTGTCAGAGACACCTCGTACTCTGTGTCAGGGGTGAGGTTTCCCAGATGGTACTGGGTGTCAGCAGAGGTCAGCTCCACCAAAGTGCGATCGGCGGAGTTCAAGCTAGGTCCGTAGGAGATGGTGACCCCATCCACCTCAGCCACGGGCTGGAACCAGGTCACCAGCGCAGTGGTGTCAGTCACATCACGAACATTCACCTGGCTTGGGCCATCGATCACTGAAGAAGAGGTAACGATGTCATTAGCAAAACTCAGTTGCTGTGTGCCACATATGAGGTATAACAACTTGGACGATGTCCTAACTTGAATCACCTGACATTTTCCTGAGTTAAAATGTAAAAACAGCATTTGTGTTCAGCAAGAATTTGTGTATGAGCAGAAAAAGAAATTTTTCATGCCGGTCATATCTTGCCTATTCATAAGTTGCTGACCACAGACCTTGAAAAGAGGGATATCATCATTTCAGTAATGCAGGTGCTGAAAATGTGTCAGCCTGTTTGCATTAATAGTTTATTCAAACTATCAATTCCCAGCTCCATGAAGGGTGCCTTTTCACTGCTGCTCAAATTGATTTGTCACACGTAAGCAAGTTTAGGAAAGTCAAGCCGCTGTGTGGGGCTGATAAAATGAAAAATCTGCATTTGAGCTTAATACTGATTTGTCTTCTAAGGAGACTGTGAAAGTGTCGTTTGAGTGTCATGGTACTATTCTTCTGGGAGGCAGCTGCCCTCTGAGTCTGACTGCTTGACTGACTGGTGCCTCCTACACATGGTGGGTTAGGTAGGAAGGGGAAACAGAGAGGGGAGAGCTGAGCGATACACTTCATACAATTAGCCCTTCAGCATGCAAATCCCAGAGTATGGCCTGCAAGCTGGCATAATGGGAGACATTAAGAGAGCCTGAATGACAAGAAGAACACCAGACCTCATAATCCATGTGGTGTTTAACACATGTATGCTTAAGAAAATGTAAGACATATAAAACATGCATTACATTTTATATTGTATGTGTGTGTATGTGTGTGTGTGTGTCAAAAAGCTTTTTAAATATATCAGTTGAAAAAAATGTCATATGCAGAAATGTATTCATTCATTCATTTATTTACTTCACCAGTTATCCTGTTCAAGGTCCCAGGAGCCCATCTCAGCTCTGATAGGGTGAGGGGCTATACCTGCCCCCCCTTCAACAAGGTGTTTATACAGAAAATGTAAACACAGAGAAACAGCTACAGTATTTTACTCTCTTCTAAGGGTATAAAATGCCTATCTGGGCTTATATCTTAATGGTAGCACAAAATGAAGCACATAGGCTAACCCATAGGAGGCTCCACGTACGTACCTCAAAGAACAATACTGTTTTTGGAAGTTGGAAGATCTGACCTGATTTTCATACATTTGTACACTGTTATACAGAAAGTATTGACACACAATATTTAACATTTGATGTTTCTGTTGCCTTTTGTTTTTTGTTTTTTTGTTTTTTTTAAACTCGGTACTGTTAGATAACAGTGATAACAGTGAAATCTGCATTCTCTATTTACCCAGTGAAACCAGATACATCCAGGTCTGAAGTAAAATTCATTTGCAGCAGCTGAAGTTAAATAACGAGAAGTGCCAGTTTTAGGTGTTTTTTCCCTTCTTATGCACATAAAAATGTTCCCCATATTCCCCAGTCAGGACACCTTAAAACTCACTGTTGGTTGCTGCTGATGAAGTTACAGTTAAAACCCTGTTTCCTCATTTTACATGATCCTCAGGCCTGAACCCTTCAGAGTGGTAGAAGCCTTTTGGGCTTTTAGCTAGATAAAGTCAATAAAGCAGACATCTGAAAATCCATATCACATTTTACTGCCCGTACTAAACCACAGCAGTGTAATGCTATCGAATGAGCAAACCACTTGATGCTGACATGTCAGGGTATTTCCAGTATATTCTGACTACACGACAGATAACCCAGGAACAAATGAACGTATATTGAAAAGTAACAACTTGCATTTAACTATGACAACTATAAATGACAATTGTGATTCCTATTTCTGTATATGACACTGTCTGTGTTTTTTTAGGACTAAATGTTAAAAAAATTGCCCAGGCTTAAAATACAAAAAGTATTTAGAAATTAAAATACATAAACATCTTTCAGCTGAGATAAATCTTTTTTATGCCAATTGGCTTCAGAAAATCCTGATATGATATGAATGACAAAAGTAATGTATGCTATATGTGCACATGTTTAAAAAGCAAGACCATAAATATAGAGGTTAGGGTCTGTTCAGTATGGTTAATGGTTAATGCTTTTCTTTTTTTAAATACATAGAGGATGCTGTTATAAAATAAAAAAAACAAATCAGCCAGTATAAATGTGGAGACTCACTTGTGACGACATTCTTGGAGGCTGGCGGTCCACGTTTGTTGTTCTTCACCACCTCCAGTTTGACCTCGTACTCCTGGCCTGGACCCAGGCCCGATTGCTCAAAGGTGGTCTCCGGTCGGCCCAGGGAGTTCAGAATCTCACCGTCTTCCTCTTTCTGCCAGCACCAACAAAAAAAAACAAAAAACAACAAAAACCCCCACCAATCAGCACCCACTACAAAGACTTGTCCTGGCATCATGCGTAAAGCGAAAGAGGGGAAAATAAACCAGTCCGATCATACATAAAAGCATTCTGGGTGGCAACTGAATTTAAGAGTTGACAGGGAATTTGGTTTAATAGTATTGAACAAGTCCAAGTAGCCCTGTTTGGAAAGGTTTTATTTTCCTCTAAAAGGAAAATAAAGTGTTAAACAGAGACATTCACTCTGTGCTTTATGGTCACTGGAGCTGTCAGGACTTGCTCACAGTTTTAACTGCTGTGTTTTTGTCTTCTGGCGTGGCTATAGCATTTTTGAGGAAGATTCTAAACTCCATCCTCAAATATGCACATTAATGCACTTAATGATTGGTTTCCCCTGGTGGAAAGTATAAATAATTGCTTAACTACTACGTGGAACACATGAGGTCAGGTAGCAGAACTAACCGTGTTTCTGAAGATGAGGTTCCAGCCATCGAAAGCAATGTCCAATGGATCCCACTGCACCTCCACAGAAGTATCCCGCACTGACTTGAACTTGAGACCCTCAGGCTCAGGAAGATCTGTGAGGGGAAATATGATAACACTCTTACAATTTTTCATCTACATTTATACTAAAATATGCATTTAGAATCTTACACTTACATGTTGCCACCCTAGCAGTGACGGGAACACTCCTCTTATTGCTGAGCACAGCATAGACACTGATCAGGTATTCCACTCCAGGCTCAAGCTCCCTAATAGTGGCCTTCTTGTGGTCCCCAGGTACCCTCATGTCCAACTCTAAGCCTCCAGAGGCCGTGGGCACATAGGTGATTAGGTATTCTGTCACACGCATCTCATTTTCCCAGGATACGTCTACTGTCTCTGGGGTGACCTCCACCACTGTCAGGTCCTTAGGTGGCGACACTGCAGAGAAACATTGAAAATCACTGATCTGCATCAACGCTGAAAACATGCTGACCTCCAAAGTCTTTTTGTTATGTTACTCCTCACTGTCTGCCATGCTATTTGTGGGTGTGACAAACACAGTGTAAAGTGCTCTGTGGAACGAATAACTTTAACCTCTTTATATCCACGTGGATACTGGTGGCTCACAGCGGAGTGGCTGTAGCTCAGAGGTAGAAAAGGTCATCTACTAATTGGAAGGTGGTAGGATCCCTGGCTGCTCCAGTCTGCATGCCTATGTATCCCTGGGCAAGATACTCAATCCCAAGTTTCTCTCCAGTATGTTCATCAGAGGATAAATGTGGGTAAGTGTTAGATAGCAAGGTGTAGAAAAAGGTTGTATGAATTGGCAAATAAGGATGTTGTATAGAGTGCTTTGACTACTCCAGTAAGCTAAAAGGCGCTATATAAGAACCAGTCCATCTACCGTTTCACCTAGAGCTTAGTTTGGTTTGGGTAATGTATATATTACCACCATAATGTGACACTTCATTTGATACACCATGTTCTAGTTTTTTTTAAATGTACCTATGTAGCATTTGAAACAAAACCCAAACCTAGCGGGGATGCTGGGGATCAGAGAATTAGTTGGCTAGTCAGTTAAAAATATTCTGTAGCATAATATTATATAATAAGCTCAAGTTATTCATGCCTAGGTATTAGCTAATGAATACCTGTTATCTATTGCCTTCTTCTCCATAGTGTGTATGTAATCAAAGTAAATATCCATTATCTGCTACCCTTAATTATGTTCTACTGCACTACAAGTTATTAACGTAGTTTTAAAAAGAACAAAGAAAACAAAATGAATATACAAAATACAATACTGTTCCATTATAAGTAAATAATGCCCAGAGAGTGAGCTTTACATTCTTGGAATGCTTCACCTTTGGATTTTGCAGAGTTTGTATTCTTGTTTTTATTTCCATGATTCCATTCTGAGGTTTTTCAGTTTTAGTTATGCCTATTTTGTAATCCACAAGAATTGTTATTATTTCTAAGTTATTTACTAAGTTTCAGTCATCCCGCCTCTCCTGTCTTCCCTGTGTCTTGTTGTTAAGTCTTTGTCATGGTGTTAGATGTTCCATAGTTTAGTTACTTCCTGTTTTATTTTGATATTCTCTTCACTCGTGTTTGTTGTATTTAGTTTTGATTCCCTTGTCTTGATGTCCCTAATTACTTTCTGCTGTATACTCTGGTGTTTTCCATTTCTTTCCTTAACTCTGTGTGTATTTAAGTCATTTGTATGCCTTAGTCCTTTGTTGTGTTGTACTGTTTATCTGCCTGTGTTATCCCTGATTTGTTCCATTTTGGCTTTATGCATTTTGTTTTCCCCTGATTTTGGACTTTCAGCCTCACCTTAATAAAAGCTTGTTTTTTGTTACTTTTTAAAAAGTTTTATTCTAAACATGAAACTTAGGAAGTTTTTATTAAAGTATTTACTGCCTGGCCTAAACAGATGAACATAAGTAAAAGGTAACACCAGCATACAGTTGATACGTTTTCCTCATACCTCTCTTTCTCCTCTTTCTTTTTTACTTTTCACACAGGGTATTGTGTATTTCACTCTTACAGTTCTTGTACATTTTTCCTTTTTTGTTTCCCAAATCTGAAAAAATTCAAATACTAGCCCTCTATGTTTTGGAGACAGGCAAAAAGGACTGCTTTGGAGAAAAAAGAAATAGCTTTTGGTCCTTGTCAGAAAAACTTTTTTCCATCCAATGGTTAGGGTTATTATGGTATTTCATTATTTTAATTTATAGCATTATTGAATTCAAATATACAAGCTTGCTGCCTATTTTGCGATAATGTAAGTTGTGGTGTAACCAGAGCTCTTTAGAACTTTAAATACTGTCTCTGTGCAAATTCAAGCTTCACCACTAAAGAGCTGATTTTTAACCAGCAGCTTCCAAAACCGCATTTAAACATTTTTCCATGTGACTTTATATTAGCTTGGGAAAAGTTAGGTAAGTTGGTTGTAATGAGAAATCATCATCCACAAATCGAAAATGACATACTTGCCAATGTAAAACAGTGATTAAAACATAACAAGGCTTTGTCCTAAGTAGGGATGGGTATCGAAACCCGGTTCTTGTTGAGAACCGGTTCCCACTGTTTCAATTCCTTGGAATTGTTTGCCATTTTTGCAAACAATTCCCTTATCGATTCCAGTTGCCCCGAATGACGTCACCATGTTGCGGAGCGTCATTTACCTGGCAGGTAAACCTGGCAGGCTTAAACACTCAAAAGTTTGGTTATACTTTACGAGAACGGATGACAACTTGCAATATTTGCAAAGTAGATAATTCATTTAAGGGGGGAAATACTACGAATATGCAAATGCATTTGCTCACAAAACACGCGATGACCTTAAATGAATGTCGTGTTTTTAATTCCGCTCCGGACTCGTGAATCTCAACCCAGCAGCAGCGGTAACGTTTGCACGTCCTCTCCCGTTAATGCGGCAGGTAAATAATCAACTAACAGTGCATATTATGTTAGCATGATCTACCTTATTACAAAACCTGCCATTACTATGCACTGCATTTAGGTGACCATGATGAGAGAGACAGACAGAGTCTGGCTGGCTCAGATGCTGGCAGTTCTCGCTGCAGTCTACCGGTAGCGTCTCCTTTCAGGCCAGGATAGACGAATGTCACCGAGCAGTGACTAAGTTTGTGGTAAAAGGCTTGCACCCATTTGCCACAGCAGATGCCCCCGATTTTCGGTAAGTGAATGTGTTTAATGTTGGCAGGGACATTACTGGATATTCTTGTGTAATTGCTACAGAATAATTTATGTTATACTTTGTTATTGCTACAGAAGAATATTTATTTTATTATTTTACATTTACAATTTTTTTTTCCTGGGGACCCTGTGACACCCCATTGAAGAGCCGTAGGCTGTGGATCTTTTAAGATCTCACTGTTGGGTTTGTAAGGCCATGTTGCTCCTAAATTTCTATCTTGTTCAAAGAGAAGATATAAAACAAAGTTCTAAGCTAATCGACCTTAGTGTTCTCCTTCTTTAAAAAGAATCGATAAGAGAATCGATAAAGAATCGAATCGTTAAACAGAATCGAAAATGGAATCAGAATCGTGAAAATCTTATCGATACCCATCCCTAGTCCTAAGGGCAAAAATTGCCTTAGAAACCTCAATTCAATTTTATTTATATAGCGCCAAATCGCAACAACAGTCGCCTGCTTTATATGGCACAGTAGATCGCACAATAATACATACGAAGAAAAACCCAACAATCATATGACCCCCTATGAACAAGCACTTTGGCGACAGTGGGAAGGAAAAACTCCCTTTTAACAGGAAGAAACCTCCGGCAGAACCAGGATCTATAACAAAGAATCTGGCATGTTACTGCCAGTCACAGTAAATTACTTTGGTACTGGTGATTGCTTTTACAAATAAACCAATTCAATCAAATGTCTAGAATTGTTTAGATACATGTGAATTTATACTGTCACAAGTCAAATGGCTAAAAGTTTAACATTTCACTTATTTGGCATATTTGGCTAAAAATAAATTCAGATAAGATAAATATTTACCTAGTGTCAGCTTCTTGCCTAGTCAGCACTACATAATCCAATCTAATAAAAAATTATAAATGTAGAAAATGCACATTTTAGGTCTTGCCCACACAAGAAATGAAACAAATTTACAACTCTTAAACTTTTTTTGTTGTAAAGGTTCCTCTCATTAATTAAAACAATTTAAGCCACCATAACTTAAAGCTGCTGTTTTAGCCAGTCTTCCTTCTCTCTCCTCAACCGGTCACGGCAGATGGCCCCACCTCTCCCTTGGCCTGGTTCTGCTGGAGGTTTCTTCCTGTTAAAAGGGAGTTTTTCCTTCCCACTGTCGCCAAAGTGTTTGCTCATAGGTAGAGCTGGGCGATATAAGATTTTTTCATATCACGATATGTTTTTTTCATTTCAGGCGATAACGATATCTATCACGATATAAGCCAAATAACTATATTTGTAAGATTTAAATGTGCCGTTGTTCACAAGTAAAATGTGAAATAATCAGCAGCTTGTTTTTATTTAAATATTTATTTCCCATAATAAGTTCATCCATTAAGCGGACGCGAATGGATGGATGAAGTTCAACAGGGTAGATGTACTTAAGGAACATGAGACTTTTTCAGATAAATAAAGGCAAATATTGCAAACTACACAAAAGGCAGCCGCTAAAGCGTTTAAGTTTCAAAATAGAACAAACGAAACAGACTACTAAATTGTCAATTCCACTTAGAAACAAAATATTAATTCTAAAAATAAATCTTAGTTTGTTTTACAGAAGAACAGACAAAATTGACTAACTTTTGTCAGTATCAAATAAACTGAGAACTAAAAGGAAATTCTCAATCTCTCCTTGTTGTATGTATAGCTTAGCTTTTCAAACAGTTTTAACAGTTACTTTGGTCTGACAAAAGCCGAATGACGAATTAGCGCTTCCAGTCAGAGACTGAGGCTACGTCCACACGTACACGGGTATTTTTGAAAACGGAGATTTTCCGTTTTCGTTTTAAAAAATAATCCCGTCCACACATAAAGGCAGAAATGAAGGAAAACGCTGCTATGAACATGCCAAAGCAGCAGGTGGAGCTAGATTCCTAACCATGCAGAAATGTTGGCCAATCAGAAGTCTAGAAGCCTCGGTGGGAAAAAGTAAACAAAGCTGGGGCATAGAAGCAGAACCGAGTCGTATGTGTGGAGGGACAGTAACTGTGTGTATATGTGAGCATTTAAACACTGCAGAGAGTAGAATTAACAGTAACAGTATTGTAGAAATTCATTTCACCGAAACAATAACGTGGCGCACAGTGTGACGCATGCACCAGTTTATTGTATTTCCAGACTTGCTTTCGGCACAATTTACAGTGCACGCTACTCTGTTTTTTGTCAGACTTGAAATAGCCGAAATACCTTCACACTACGGAACTTCTATGGCTCTTCCGTTCGACAATCTCTCCGGCATTGGAACCATCATCTGTTTTCTCTTTGGTAACATTCGGTCACGCTCGGTTGATTTTTCTAGTCGGCACACTCATTTCCTCCATTACCCGGGCGGTACGGTGGCTGGCTGCTTCACAAACAAATACACATGTGTGGCTTGGCACTTGTGCTGTACGTAACAAGTCACGCGACGTGACGCTGCGGCTGTGATTGGTTCGGCTCTGCGCTACTTAATTTGGATTGGCTGACCTTTTTCTTTTTTTTTTTAAAGAGGACAAGAGCGGCAAGGTCTATCGCGATAGTTTAATTTCTCTATCGAGTAAAAGTTATATCGCGATACATATCGTTATCGTTCTATCGCCCAGCTCTACTCATAGGGGGTCATATGATTGTTGGGTTTTTCTCTGTATGTATTATTGTAGCTTACAAGATAAAGTGCCTTGAGGCGACTGTTATAGTGATTTGGCGCTATATAAATAAAATTGAACTCTTGGCACACACTACCAACAGACTAAAAAACCTTATTTAAGTGTATTTTAATGCTAAAGTTTCTGTAATATTACATAAGGAGTCTTTATTTAAGTAAACTACCTATTGTCTAAGGAGCTTGGAAAGAAAAGTGTCTGGACTCCTTTAAGTTTCCTTGGAGACATTTCATCAAAGAAGCTTCTTCAGTTTTAAGGGCAATTGGTGGAGAGTCCCAGATTTTAAGCCCTATGGGAGTGTCCCCAAGTGGGTCATGGACCCCCTATTGATCCTCTACCTAATCACATGAACCAAGGTGTGAAAATGGGTGTAGGTCACAATCAGCCAAGGTTCTGGGTTAACCCACTGTAAAATCTAGCCCCACCCTATCATGTGATTTATTGAGGTTAATTGGCCCAGGATGTGAGTGGGCATTAAGGTGTCTGAGAAGGGATCTCAAAACTGGATTATAGATGGCAGACAGTTTGTGTCGTAAGCCCCGCCCTCTGTTCAAAGATGGTCGTTCACAGTGGACATAGATGGCTTCTTTGACTCCTCTTTCAAACTATCTGTCTTCTCTTTCCATAATGTGAACATTGACATCCTCAAAAGAGTGACCTTTGTCCATTAGGTGCAGATGGACTACTTGTTAATCGTTTGATCAAAACAAAATCCAACACCTACCCAAAGACTGTGTTGCCAATGATCTGGTGAATTTTAACAGATGAGAATGTAGCTAAAACATTTCCTAACCCTAAACATGGGTAAAGTTGCGTAGAAAGTTATTCGTGTAGGTAATGATTTTATTAGAAAGTATATATAAACTGTCTTACCCTCTGAGCAGTCCTCTCCAATGAATCCTTCATCACAGACACACACTCCATTCTCACAGCGCCCCTGGTTGTGGCAGTCTTCTGGGCAGGTTAATATGGAGCAGTCTGGACCAGTGAATCCCTCATAGCACACACAGCTGCCATCTACACAGTAGCCTCTATCTAGGCAGTTCTTGGGACATGTCTTCTCACCGCAGTCCTCACCAGTGAAACCCTTATGACAAACGCACTGTCCGTTCACACAGTGACCACGGTCCAGGCAGTTATTGGGGCAGGTCAACTCACCACAGTCTTTCCCTGTAAAGCCGGTGAAACACACACACTTGCCGTCCACACACTCTCCACGGCCCATGCAATCTTTAGGACAGGTCTTGATGCTGCAGTCCTCACCAGCATAACCTTTCTCGCATATGCACTGCCCATTCACACAGTGACCACGGTCCAGGCAGTTATTGGGGCAGGTCAACTCACCACAGTCTTTCCCTGTAAAGCCGGTGAAACACACACACTTGCCGTCCACACACTCTCCACGGCCCATGCAATCTTTAGGACAGGTCTTGATGCTGCAGTCCTCACCAGCATAACCTTTCTCGCATATGCACTGCCCATTCACACAGTGACCACGGTCCAGGCAGTTATTGGGGCAGGTCAACTCACCACAGTCTTTCCCTGTAAAGCCGGTGAAACACACACACTCACCGTCCACACACTCTCCATGTCCCATGCAGTCTTTAGGACAGGTCTTGATGCTACAGTCCTCACCAGCATAACCTTTCTCACAAACACACTGCCCATTCACACAGTGGCCACGGTCTTGACAATTGTTGGGGCAGGAGAGTTCACTACAGTCTTCACCTTGATATCCTAGGTCGCATACACATTCTCCATTAATGCACTGTCCCCTGTTGCTGCAGTTGTCAGGACATGAGAGGACTGAGCAATCTTCACCTTCAAATCCGGGATCACAGATGCACTTCCCGTTGAAGCAGTGACCTTTCTCGCTGCAGTCTTTGGGGCAGGTGAGCTTAGAGCAGTCCTCACCAGTGTAGCCAGTGTGACACACACATTGGCCATTCACACAGATCCCGTGGTCGTTACAGTTGCCCGGACAAGTGAGCTCACCGCAGTCCTCCCCAGTGTAGCCCTCTTCACAGTAGCAGGTACCATTAATGCAGCGTCCTCTATCATAACAGTCGTTTGGACAGATGAGTTCAGAACAGTCGAAACCCGCCCATGGATGGTCGCAGATGCACTCATCGTCCACACAGCGTCCACGGCCCAGGCAGTTGTTGAGACAGTTGGTCTGAGAACAGTCCTCACCGATAAAACCGTCTTCGCAGAGGCAGGACCCATCAACACAGTGACCGTAGTCGCCACAGTCCAGCAGGCAGAGCTCAATGCTGCAGTCATCTCCGCCAAAGCCCTCAAAGCATTCACATTTGCCATCTACACAGCGGCCCTGGTCCTGGCAGTCACTGGGGCACTCAGGTTCAGTGCAGTTGGGGCCCTTCCATCCAGGCTCACATACGCAACTACAGGTGTCAGTACTCCAGTTTCCACGCTCGTTGCAGTAGGGCTTTGAGGACACTTCACCTGAGAAATGGCAAAAAAGAGAAGGATTTCCTTTTAAATTATTGCAAATGTGCACTACTCATCCTCCAGTTTGGCACTGCTTTACTTAGTCCTGTAATAATATTTTTTGTAAAAGTATGAAACAAACAGAAGCTACTGTGTTAAAAGTGAAGTCTAAGTAATTGGAGCCTCTGCCCAGCAAACATGGCAGAAACACTGACATCATCTTCTAAACAAGAAATATTAACATCATTTTAATTTAATGAAGAAATTAAATGCATATGCCCTTTGTTTAAAGTAACAATACCTGATGACTAACTTGGTTACTAAATGGTTATGAACAGATGGCCATACAATATAGAACCTGGAACCAAAATTGTAATTATGACTGACAAGTCAGTGCTGCTGTTGCCCCATATCACCAGCTCCTTCTTTAACCCCTCTACCACTCTAACATCCACCTGAAGTCTGGGAAATAATTACTCATCACTCCCCAAATAAAAATGTTATATTGGTAAGGAGATATAAGCTCAAAGCGCAGGCACCATACTTTATTTATATTTTTCTGCTCTAAATATTCAACTCAACCATAAGTTGTCTGGATGAAACTGAATTTGGACTGCACAATTATGTACTTCAATAACAGTTAGTTGTTTTATTTATTTATTTATTTTTGATAACCGGCTACTGTCTACAGATTAGTTGCCTGACAATTCTTTTTTTTGATGGGCAGTCTTGAGAGATGAAAAACATTTGTGCATGTCATACAAATCCTCCATCCATCTGCTTATCCTTTTTCAGAGTCAGGTACACCTTCAGGTTTCAGGTACACCTGCCTCTCGCCCTAAGACGTCAATCTGTTGTAAGGCTAACACATGGACAACCATTTCCACTCATATTCACTTACGCATTCACACCTATGGGAAAATTTGAGTTTCCAATTAACCTATCCCCACTAACTGCATGTCTTTGGACTGTGGGAGGAAGCCAGAGGAGAGAACGCACGCGAACACGGGGAGATCATGCAAACTCCACACAGAAAGACCCTGGCCTGATGGTGGAATTGAATTCAGGACCTTCTTGCTGTGAGGCAACAGTACTAACCACCGTGCTGCCCTATGTCGATGGCATAGGACTTTTATGTCATATAAGTCAGTATAGCTTATGTGCCATATAAGTCATACTCACTTCAAATATGCAATACCATAGTCTTTTAAAGAAATCTACCTTGGGCAGCTTTAACTTAACTCCCACCTAGTTTGACATCAGAAAAGGACATAAAGATGCATACTTGCATATTATTATAGATGTTGCAAGACAAATTCTTCTCTTTCCTAATCCACATATGGTTTCTCAAACTTCTCTTCCTGGAAAGTATTTTTTAAAACTGCTATTTTCAGCGACCAAAAATGCCTCTTTTATGTAAAAATTTTAATAATACATTTCAGTACGACAACTGGGATACAGCACCACCCCCCGCGACCCTGTGAAAACTGAATGGATGGATGGGACACTTCAGTAGATTGTAGATAGATATGTTGGGGAACATGGTGGCTTCCACAAACTGCTGCTCACTCATATTTATTTTTAATAGGTTAATTAAAAGAGAATTATTTTTTTTATCAAATAACCTCAAAGATTTATTGAGTGCACCTTTAAGGACAAAAGCTTTTTCTGTGCATTTTTGCCGATGTTTATTAAAATGCCTGTACACACGTGAGCCTATATGTACAGTAAACACACTGTCATTATAACACTTGTAATTACAGTGAGTGCATATACAGTAACAGATGTAGACTTACCTGTAACTTGAGCTCCACAGCAACCTGCTCCACTGGTACAGTGCTCCCTCAGACTAGACAGCTCTGACTCCAGCATCTCTAGCCTGCTCAGGATAGCCTTGATGTCTGGCAGCTGGTTTTCACAGCCGCATGCCTGCTTGGGGATATTGATGCGATGGGTGAAAACGATCTGATTGTCACCATCCATCGTGTGTTCCATGTGCTCGGTGTTCTGCATCTCCATTGGGACGGTCTTGTGCTTGAGGTCAGTACCTCCTGGTGAGTCAAGGTCCACAGAGCAGAGCGACGTGGAGGGGACGTTGATGTTGTAGACATGGTTGAAAACTACCGGCTGGTCAGGATGGGGGAGTGTGAGGTTCTCCTGGGTTTTCTTCGGCATCAGAGCCTCTCTGCGATGGCGGATGACATTCCTGACAAGGCCAGCAGTGGCAAACTGGAGGATGAGGGCCACAGTTAAGAAGCCCAAAAAGAAACTTCTCATTCCCATGATGACACCCTGCCACTGCAGCTTATGAGTTTAGTAGCAAATAGGTATTCCCTTCCAGATTCCTATAGGAAAGAGTAAGTACAAACAAACAGAGGACCAATTTTGAGAAAGAAATTAGGTTTGTCTCATATCTTTATTACATTCACATGTAAAAAAAACAAACATGTATTTATACATGTTTTGCATTCTCTCTGCTGCCATTCTTGATAGAATAAACTAAAAAGTCACATGATTGCACACACATACATATGTACATTTTTGCTGGCTCCAATAGTTTGTATTTTAAAAATTCTGTTGTTCATTGTCTGACTATGCTGCTTTTTTTCTTTTTCTCAACATTCCACAACTGTTCACAAGCGATAGCTACACCTCCCTTATCCAGGTTCTTCTGGAGGACTCATCCTCTTTGTCCCTACAGTCACTAAGTGCTTGGGGCTCCTTTTTGGTTGTTTGACAGAAATATGATAATGACACCTCCCCCTACCTGCCTCTAATAAATTCCCATCTCTATTCTTGTTGCTACCACTTACCCGTTTTTGCCCCTCTGCTCTCAATAGACGAGACATACACCCTGTTGTTTCCAGGGAAGGATCAAGGGCTGGCCTGTGACCTTATGGATCTAAGCGAAGCATTCATGAAGACGGGCTGTCATGACACAAACAATCACAATAACACCTGCATGGTGTAGAACCTCTTCTATTCCCCCCAGCCCAGAACACAAACCAAGCTGACAGATTAATACTGGTGTATAGCTAAACCATCTGTGGTCTTTCTATAAAAGCACAGAGGGCCTGGATGAACTTCCTTTCCACTCCTGCAAACCAGCAGGTCAGCATTCCCAGAGCGCTCCCCCTTGAAAGCCAATTGGTTTTCTTTTAGTTCTGTAACTTGATTCTTAATGCTTCTGAAACATGATTCTTTAAAAAGGTCTGCTGGAAAATGTGCTGAGTTTGTGGGATTAAAACAAAAAAACAAAACAAAACAAACTGTTTATTGCTTTGATCTTATATTAAATTTGAATATACAGGTTTGTTATATGCATGCCTTTGTTATAGAGCTTTAAAAAGTGTACACAATAAGGTGTTGTCATCCCATTTCCAGACCCTAAAATCTATCAGGTCATCAGCAATATGTCTATGGTGAGGGATGGGTTTTGTTCTGGCCACATACAATGTACATTTTCAGAAACCAGAATATGCTGCACATCAAATCAAATCCGTTTTTGGCATTTGTTTTACTGTTAAATATTTTCATATTTGGGTGCTCAAAATCATTGAAAATTGTCTTAAAAGAGGTTGAACCCTTTGTCTAAATCTTTGCTAATTGGTGTTGGTGAACTTGGTAGATGTAAAGAATTTAAAGCATTTTGGTTCTTGTTTTTCTTTTACATGCAGAAATGTAAAGTAAAGTAAATTTCCTGGCCCTTTCAGCAATTGGAACCAAGAGGATAACAGAAAACCACAAATATAGATTCCATGCATCACCACAGACTCGTTACTTTTTGAGGAGCTTGGCTTAGGTTGAGTTTATATAATTGTGCTTTTTCTCCACCTTGTCAGAGATGCTGACACTGATCCTTTCCTACCTTTAATAAAAACCAGTGTTTGCCTTGGCTACTTTAAAGGTTAATGGCAGCAGTTAGAAGTCAACATGAAAATGTCTAGCTAAGCAGACACAAAAATGTGTGATTGCAGTGGAATATGTATGGAGGGGTTTAATTTGCTCTCCTCTCTCTAGACTTAGTTGCAATGATGTGGGATTCAAGATCATCTTAACTGGCCATTTTCACATCCACAGGGTGACAGTCAGCAGGTAACATTCCACTTGTTCTCTTCATCTCAGCCTGACGCATGATTAGGCAAGCTGACAGATGAGCTCAGCTTGGAAGGATCCCACAGCTTCACCCCCTACTCAGCCACAACATTACCAGTCCCATGATTAGACAGACAGGGATGAACGCCTCCATGATGGGTAGACTGTAAAAGTTCTAATATGGGAGTGCTGAAGATCTGGGCCCTCAGGGGTGTGAAAGCTCCCCCCACCATCCTCCTGTCTCCACACACACAAGACACTAATACAGTCACACTGCTGTGCCCAAGCATCACAAACTAGGGATTAAATCAACAAAATAGCCAGAAAATTGCTTTGAGTTGCTGCTAAGGTTTTAGTTCTGGGCGGATGGTTGGCTTTCTCACTTTGAAGGCTGGCTGCTCTCCACATGGACCTTTAAGAGAAACCAACCCCCAGAGACCAAAGTGGGCTTTGTACGAGCTCTGTGGCTCTGGCAGAAGTTGCCTTTACTTAGAAATAGATGAAGAGAAGAAACTTCCACTGAGCCCTTGAAATATTTTGATTTGATCTTTCTCTTCTTAGTTGCCATAAAGTCGTTTTTAATATGAAGCAGAACAATCAGAATGAGGGAATCTTAGTGTGACTCTGAGAAACACAGAGCTGATCCGTCTGTTTGGACTTCCTTCATGGGCACCCTGTGGTCCTGGCACTATGCTAATGCAGCTGGTTGTTGGCACTGTAGACATGGACTTGATACAATCTGACTGCTGCTGCTTTGTTATTCCCTCACTTAGTTTTGCTGTATAGTTAGCTTCTCAAACAGTAACAAAGCTTGTTGCTTGCCTTGTAGTTGAATGAGAGGAGAATTTCACCCAGGGAAACCTGCTGGCGCACAAGCGTTTGGTGCAACTGATCTAAATCGCCCCATTGTGAATGAGCGCTACAGAGACACTTGACGTTTTATACCTCACACAGAGGAAAACTCTAAACACTTTAGTTTGGGGTTTTGGTCAGTGATGGTAGTGATTAGCTGTCAAAAAGCTAACAAATTTACAATATTTTATTTTCATTCAAAAATAATCCCTTGGCACAATTTTTCATTCAGTATCATCCAAAATGAATTTGATCACAACCTAGTGAGAGCAAGTGCTTTTACTTTGCTGCTAAAAAGACTCACCTTTACAATCTAGCAGGCTGGAAAACACAATAGCTGGTGACAGCAACAACAAAAATCATGTGATAATGAGACAAATGTTTACTTCAGGCTGCTCTTTGCTTTTTGATTTTGTATATTGTCTGATTTAGACACCAAAACAACTTGGTCCATGTTGGGCATAATTCATGGCTTGGATTAAAATACACTGTTTCTAGCAGGGATTGTCGATTTTTGTACATACTGTGAAGAGAGAGTTCTATACCTGAAGAACTGGGTACACAAGTTTGAATTTATATCGAATTTTCTCTTATCCACACATGGTCAAACGTACACATATAACCCACACTTCTATTTGGTTAAACATTCCTTAGCAAGTTGCAACTTGACCGTACACTTTGATAGCCATCGATGAGCTTTTGACATCGCTCTGGCTGGATATTTTACAACTCTTCTTGAAAGAATAGGTAGAGTTCATTTAAACTGGTTGGTTTCCCTGCATGGACGTGACTTAAACATAGTTAACTTGATTGAGGTTGGGGCTTTAGGAAAGCCATTCAAGAAGCTTAATATTTGCCTGCTTCATCTTCATGTGTTCTTAAATTTTAAAGTCTCGTCTTCACTTGTCCAAAAATACCTCTTGTCATTGCACCCATTGTCTCATCTGACCCTGAATTCTGTCCACATGGGCAGCTGCAAATTTTCGGCAAACTTGCAGGTGTCTATTTTGGAGCAGAAGTTTTTTTTAATGTCATGGTCTGTCATGGTCTCAAGCTACAGTAATGTAAAACATGCTTCACTGTGAACTGTAAACTGCTGGTGTTCCACCAGGTTACAGTTCACAGAGGAGACTTGAGCCTTCGTGAACCATCAAGACTCACAAATATCTGTCACCAATTTCCTCTCATCTGAGTGTGACTGTTTTGGGTGTTCTTCCAGACCTTGGTGAAGTGGTGACAAATCTGAATATTTTGTACTTATATAGAGTTGTTTGAAGTGATGATTTTAGAATCTGTCATTGTTTGCAAATTTCTCCAAGAGTCCTTCCCAAACTGTGTAAATCTACAGTTCTCCATTATAGATCCTGACTGCTGATCAATCCAAATCAGTGCTGTCAAACAAATCCTTTTTATGCTGCAGACAGAAACTAGTATTTGAAGATAATTATGATCACTAAAAAACAGAGTTAACAAAAAGTTGGCCTTGCCAAGTAAGGATATTGGAGAACTTCCAGCACTACTTATTGGAAGATTTAAATGAGTGTATGTATATATATTTTAGTTTATAGGTATACTTTTGACCTTGTGTGTATCAGAAAAAAATACAAAATAAATTCAAACTTCTTTTCAAATTATTTTTAAAGTAATAATTAATGGTGTATATTGTATAATCATTCCACCATTGAAAAGAACAGTTTAAAGAAACAGAATCATGAATCATTTAAACTTCTGACTACAACTGTAAAATGACTTTTTATTACATCTTCCCTGTACAGCACTCCAAGCATTTTATACAACATGTCTCATCCATCCATTCACACATATATTCACACTGTGTATTGTGTCACAATGCATTCGGAGCGACCCAGGATTCATTATCATGCCCAACGATACTTTGCATCCAGGAATCAAACCACAAATCTTCCACATGCTCCAACTTCTGAGTCGTAGCTACCCGCTATATCGAAATCATATAATTTGTGAAGTCTGTACAGTTTCCTCTGAAACAGAATTTGCAGCAAGTTTGGAGTGGCCTTTCACTTTAATATGCAAAGCATGTGGTGACCTGCTGACTTTAACTAACTGCTAGAATCTGAATTTTGGCAAAAGCTGGAGCAAGACTTTTCAAAAGAGCAGACAGAGTGGAGCTCCATCTCTTTTGCCGTGATATCATTGGCTGGCTCGATCATTGCCACATTTGAACCACATCCTGCACTCATCATCTCACCTGTTCATTCACCCCTTATCCCACCTTACACAAGGAAACAAGCCAAAACTGATGGCTTCTGGGCCTGTCTACTAACAGTGCATCTCCCCAGCCATTCTTCACTCTGCCATCAGGCTTTTACGCAGTTCAGCAAAACAGCCTCATCGACCATAAAAAGAAGGCAGAAAGAGA